GCCTGCTTAACTGCCATTTCAGCCTTATGCGCCTCTTCTTCTTTTTTTCTCAAAAGCTCTTTTGTGCTGGGAATCCCCTTCTTTGCCACCGAGTCCACCTGCTGTTTTAGATAGCTTTGTATTTTGCTATAGACTCCTACATTCCCGCCCTGCACATTGGTAGAGCTCAGCGTGTGCATCATCATAACTGCCAGCACACCTATTGTTAATCCAAGTATAATTATCTTGTTGTATTTTCTTAATACCTCCTCCATCTCTTTTGTGTGTATTTGTTGTTTATTCTCCTGCTTTTCATCTATCTGTTCTGAAACATTATTTGTTTGTTGTGGCTCTGAGTCCTTCTGGCTCACTTCACTGCCATTATTTCTTACCTGTGTCTTTCTAGGTACTTTTCCGTGTGATACCCGTACGCTTTTCTTCTCCTGTGTCATGCCTTGGTCGTTTGTGCTTTCTTTTATTTTTTCAGTTTCTCCAGCTTTTTTCAGTTTATTATTTTGCTGAGCCTCAACATCCTGTGATGCTGCAACTGCTGCTTTTCTTGTCTTTTTGGTCTCCTGAGGCTGAGACACCTCACTCTGCACAGCGTCTTTTGCTTTTTTCCTTGTCTGCTCTCCGCTATCTTTTCTCTTTTCTTTCTCCTTCGCTGGTTTTGACTGCTTTTTGGCTGCATCTATCTCTTTGAGTATCGATATAACCTCGCTCTGTCTCTTTTCCAGCTGCTTCTTGTTTCTTTTAAACTCGCCCACCAGCTCTTTTTTGCTGCTCCTTACGGTCGCCTTGCTTATTTCCATCTTGTTTAATATAGCACACAGCTCAATCTTTGTCAGCCTGTTCGGATCCTTTGCTCTCCTTGTTAGCTGAACCATTTGTAAGAATAAACAAAAGCAAAAATCAAATGAATAAGAACGCAAAAAGGATCTAGATTTAATTAACCTTGTCTAATTAATAAGACACGCGCTCTAAATATTGCCAGGCAGGCTGTACAGTCTCTCCTGTGCACAGACACACTCTGCATTCGATCTTGCCAATAATAGCATATCAGCAATTAATAAATTTGTAAATAGAAATATACTTTATTTTTACATACAGAAGAAATAACATATACAAACATAGAATATCCATAAACACTGCCTATAACTCTCAAATTATCCTAACTGTAGGAAGAATGCATAGATATAAGCCTAAGTGAACAATCTGTATATAACTATGCTTGTATATCTACTTTATCTGATTATTCATACATAGCTAAAAAATTGGTCTAACTCTTTGCATCCTTTCTGAGTAATTCTGTCTATCTATTTTTCTTTCATATTCTGTTCTTCCAAGGAACTAAAATACACACTGAAACAGAGAGATTGCACACAGATTTATCTGTAAGCTCTCTTACACTCTCTTAACTCTCAATAATCTGTCTCAATTTCCATGCTGTCTACACGCCATTTTTCTGCTCAATTTTTATTCGTTTTATTTTTTGCAGCCAGACACTATGCAAGTTATTATTACATCCAGCAACTCAAAGCTGACACACGAGACAAAAGAGCTGCTTCTAGACATAGAAGGAATCTTTCCCGGGGCCACTCCCATAGCCAGAAAAAAAAGGAGATTTGCACAGTTCTTAAAAGAGGAAGTGACAGAAGATGAAGCCATGATCATCCGGCTTGACCAAATAGACGAAGTGCGAAGACGCCTTCTCTTCATAAGAAAAGACGCAAAAAACAACATAACCACAAGCACATACTCGATTGTATCATACACTCTCTCGAGAAGGCTTAATGGAGCCATTGACTCGGGGCACATGCCAGAAATATCCATAACGAATTTTGATGATACAGAAAACGACAAGAGAACAATAAAAGACATAGAAGACGTATTCAGCACAGAAGACCCAGACTTTGAGGGAAGACAGCTGGTGTCCTTCACAAAAAAGAGAGGGTTCATCATCTGCAGAAAACACAGATACATCATAAGACTCCCCGAGGACCCAACAAAAGAGGAAACCGTTCGGTTGGACGAGATAGGCCCAAGGCTCTCGCTCAAGCTGCAGTCAGTAGATGTCAATGAAGAGTACATATTTAAACACACTAAAAACATAAAGCTGAAGGACTAGTAGACTCTCTGCAGCAGAGAAGAGAATGGAAAAGAATAATCTGAGAATGAATTATTCGGCTAAATGTGCTGCATAGATAAGATGTGCACTCTCTTCTTTTTTCTGCTGCTAGAATCTTTTCTGTTTTCTATTGGTGACTGGCAAATGCAAAAAAGCTTCTTCTCTGCAGTTTATTTGCCAAGGGCACCAATGGGCTCTGTGTGAGAAGCAAATAAAAATAAAATATCCAATAGATGTTTAGAAATAAAAATAGAACACAACAACCTAATTTAGAGCTGTATTTTGAAGATTTAGAAATAAAAACGATTTGCTGCTCAAAAACTTTTGATATTCTTTCCAATAAATAAGGAAAACAAAGAGAGAGATATGAATTTCAGAAAAACAGCACTTCTATTCGTATTGGCAATAGCATCGGTGTATCTGTGTGCAAAAGAGCCGTCAAAGAAAAGCGATCCAAAAAGTGAAAACAACAAATCCCTGAGCCATGGCAGCAAAACAGAAACAGAGAAAGAGCCCACAAGCAGTGGATTTAGCATATTCTATAGCACGTCAAATGAAGCCTCTGGAGGCAAGGAAAAAGAGTCAAAAGACAAAGAAGGATTTTTCCACAAAGTGGGAAGCTTTTTCACAAAGATCTTCCACAGGATATTCGGAGGCAAAAAGAGCAGCTCTTCTGAAAATAATGCAGAAAATCGCGCAGGTAAAACCAGCACTGGTGTGCTAATGATTGCAGGCGAGTCTAGTTCAGACTCCAGCGCTAGTACAAGCTCCAGTGGTGCTGAAAAGAAAGAAAATCCTTCCAAAAAGGGCTAACTTCTGCTTATACATATTTGGTAAGATGAATTAATAATGTAGGTGTAAAATAGCTACAACCATCCGCTCTTATTCTTGCGCTAAATAGTAAAAGGTTATTGGTTAGCGTATATTTGGTTCTTGCTTGCAATTGGTCAGCTCGCTCTACATAAATGGGTGAATTTGTGTGCTAATAAACATAAATGAGAATTCACAGACTACTTGTTTTTTTATGCATTGTGTTGTACTGCAAGTGCTCCAGGAAAATTAAAAAAAAGAAGCACTCCACAAAGTTGAAAAGAAACGCTTTGAAAACAACAGGAAACATGCTGAAGATAAAAGTATAGAGCTGTGTACATACTAAACTGCCATACAGGACACTGTGAGAAGATATAGCTTGCTAAGATATTCTGTGCTTCTATAGACACTTTCCTACTGCTATTTCTACAGTGTATGTACTTCCATGGACTCTTCTCCAGATTTCAATAATAAACTGTTGTTGTAGGCTATCCTGTTCTTCTAATGATACATCTCCTGGTTTTATTCGTCTCTATCTACAGTTTTAAGTCATGTGTATTTCTAACAAGAACATCAAACGAATAAGACCAAATGAGTGAATAAATGAGCATAGTTGCATTTTATTTTTATGGAGAATAATGTGCCAGTACATCCGGTAGAAATACTTCTAGAGCAGTGGACACACTTCTAGGGCATTTACATGGCATGCATCACCTAGCAGCGCTCTTATGCACTGGACGTATCTTGAGTCAGCTAAAAATAAACAGAAGAGCATATTCACTTGAGGAGTTGATGAGATTAAATATAAAAATGTAGTGTGAACCACTATCCCGCACTATAAAGCGTATTGTGATTGAAGAATTGCACACGTCTTGAGTAGTCAACCGTGGGAACTAAACAAGAGCCCTTTTTTGTTCGACCGTGTTTGTAGAATATGTGCACAGGGATGCACTCTATAGCAGAAATGCCTATAGCACTCTGCACACAGTCCAGGGGTGCAAATTATTTCTCTTTTTATAGCCCTCTTAAATATAAAAAGAAAAATATTTTAGAGCCCTGTGTTTTTTCTTAACTTCATTCTGCTTATGATGATACTGTTTAGACTTATACGTGCTGACACATTAAATATAAACTACAACGGTTACTGAAGCACTTTCATTCTAATATCTTCTCTGTGCAATCCAGTGTATGCATCTGCGTGCTTTCTCTGTGGCCTACAGTCTATTTAGCGCTCTTCTTTATTTTATTTTTATGAAAAACATTACCGCGTGTGTGCAGTATAAAAAAGAGTATATCTATGCAACGTATGTCTACAGCGAAAAGCGCAGACACGGGTGCATAACCTACAAAAACACAGAAATAGAGACAACAGGCACATTTGACCTTTCACTAGATGGAGACAGACTGATAGCCAGTAACTCTAACAGTATGATGGTTATTGATCTTGGAAAAAAAGAGAGCTTAGAGGGCACGAGTGCCAGTGTGTCTGCTGAGTTATATAGCACTGTGTACGAGAATGGAATAAACAACTATAAGCACTGTCTGCACAGAGACAAGCTGTATTCAGTCGGTCTTGGGGTGTACTCAGAAATAGACTTGCACACAGGAAGCATCAGTAAACATACGTACTACTGCAATAACAGTAAATGCATACACGATATACTCTCTATCGTAGTAGATGATAAGTACATTTACATAGGATGTGATATAGGATGCTTGTCTTATATAGACAGAAAAACCCACGAAACAGTTCATACTGTATCATACAGCGGAGGAGTTACATGGCTGAACACTATTAGCAATAAAAAAGACAGGATAGACCAATCTACAGATATAGATGGTGTAGAAGGGGCTTCTTTGGAAGTAGGAACATACAGTGGAGAGTATTCTCTTATATCAGGCAATTTTCAGAAAATAGATAAGAACACAGGAGGTATCATATGGCGGGTATACAAAACAACTGTCAATGGGAATGTATACAACATATTAGCGCAGTCTTATGATGGTATAGGCATATACACGGAAGACATGGTGGAGATACGCACAGTGCCAACGGATGACTTGGTGTATACTGTGAAAATAGACGAAGAAAGCAAAGTGATCACAGGATACAACTACTATAAAGGGACACTAATTAAAATCAATCTTTATGAGGCCATAGACAGCGCCAAAAACATCCAGAAGTAGAACATAGACAGCGCCAAAACATAGAAAGATGTAGACAGTCAGATCAGATGCAAAGGCCTCCACAAAAAGACTGTATATGCTTTCATTGTAAGAGTCAACATTTGCAAGTGCAGTGTTTATTTAAAACAAAATTATGCACATCTTACTGCAAAAATAAATGAGAACACTTCTGACTGTTTAAATCTAGCGAGACAGTGGTCAATTGATAGTTTATGTAGATAAATTGAATATTTCCTCTTTTGAGCTGTAACACTTTGATCTTCTCAGATTCTATCACAAATGATCTCTATAGAAAGTATATATACCTCGATGAATCTCAGCAGATACACATGTTGGAACACAGAAAAATAAGAAAGCCAAGACTGAGTATCCATCTGCAATGCATTGCTTTGATTTTAGTGCTCATCAAGATAGTACGATCAAGCCAACCAGGAGAAAACCTTCTTTACAATGAAAACCTAGAGTCTGATAATAATAATCTTCCTTTTAGCGAAGGAAGAAATAACTACTCGGAAATAGCAAATAACCTAGTCAATACTTTTATAAAGCTAAACATGGACATGAAAAACAGAAAAGAGCTCGATGAACAGATGGCCTTCCGTCTAGGGCAGGAGAGTGCTCCAGATGGCCAAACAAAAAATACGCACGCCTTCACTCCTGCACATGCTTCAAAAGCTCCTTTCAACCTCAAAACCAGAGAAGAAATCGAAGATGAAAGAATAATAGCTAAGTCGCTGGCAAGTCTCTCCACGCATCCTTTCAAAGCAATTGAAAAGTGCGATGTGTGCTGTGCCTGCAGGAACAGTGCGCTTGTAGGCTCAGTTGGAAGCGGGAGGAAGTCTGCATGCAGCAAGAGAGTCCTGGTTGAAATCCAAGAAATTCTGAAGATCGTGTTTAAAGATCATGTATCTGCTGTAGGTACTGGGGAGTCTTCTCTACTAAACCAACTCTTCAGCAGAGCCTTACCTGAATCATGCTCTTTTACGAATAATATCGTAAGAAGAATTATTCTGATCCCAGACTCGCACATTGTCCTCAAAACATACCTGATCATTCTGCTGGACTCCATCCTCATGGACCTGTGCAACAGCTACCACTGTCCTCTGTGCCGGTCTCTATACTCAGAGCCTGGATTTATGATGTACAGAGTTGTCCGGGCTGCAAATGTGTTTACAAAATCTCGTGATGTGAGAGGGCTTTTCGGAATGGAAAGACTGGAACACTCTCTGAGCTCAATCGAAGAGGCTCGGCGCCTGCTAGTCTCGCTGAGTGGAATGTTTGACCTGATCAAAATAAACTCAGAAATGAGAGGCATATATACCAACGTAATCACCAGAGACATCACTAGAGGGCCTTCTAAAATGGAAACTGTGAGCGAACTTCTTACGTACATGCTGGGACTGACGATAGTGCTGAACTCATCTGACTCCATATACTACTTTTTGGTTAACCTAGACTCTGCTAATCTCACTGGCAGCAATCTCATTCCCATTCCCAATGTGTACAACATGAGCACACATATATACGATACATTGGGGGCAATAGGAATAAACGATAAAAATATTGCAAACATCATCAGACAGTACAACAGTGCAGCAGGGAGCAACGCGCACATTATGCAGGATGGCATCATAAAAACTTTGCAATCAGCGGGCTTATTTATGCAGTCTCCTGCGAATGTCAAAGTAAAACTGGCGCAACCTCTTTCCTTATTCAGCACGCCAAATCCTATGAGCTTTGCAGGAGCACATACAAATTACATGCCCAATCAGATGCTCAATCTTCCAAATGTAGCCATCAATAATCCGCAGGTAAACTATATAAGTTCCATGCAGCATAATGTGCCTCTTCCCGCTTTTTCTGAAGTCTACACCTATCATCCTACGCTTAAAAAAGGGCTCTACAACTCTCAGAAAGATGAAAAAGTGAAGACACTAGCGCAGAAGATAGACAGTGCCATAAATAGCAGTGGTGCGAGTGCTGCTGCAGCCCAGCAAAAGGGAGCGAAATCAGTGAATTTCCCAGATAAAAATTTTAGCAGATTCGTACCTAATGCGCAAAACTACTCTGGACAGGCTCCAGTGCAGGTGCCAACAGCAGCTCCAAGACAAATCAAAGTCCCAGTTCGCATAGAAGCACAAATACCCGCGCAGATGACCATCCCAGCCTCTCCCCAGCAGATGCCCGTGCATCAGGCACAGATGAGTCATTCTGTTCCAGTGAACTACAGAGTTTTATCAGTGCCTGCTGGAAGTGCCCCTTATTTGGGCCCATCTCTTCAAAAATCAAATGTTGTTACTCCTGGAGTTACCTATGCTAGTGTACTGCACAACACTTCTCCCACTGCAAGAGCTCCAATGGCTACGTACGGGCATCATTAGCCGCATTCTTCAATGTGCTGGTGGCTTACTCTATGGATATACTAAATAAATAGTAAATATCTTCCACTTTTTTAATATTTACACTCTGTTCTTCTACATTGCATCTAGACACACCAGATTCTCGAAATAAAAAGTTTACTAGAGTATTTTTCTCTACAGAAATAAACTAGTACACTTAAAGAAAAAACTTATTCTGCAAAATAAAATGTACAAGTTGTGTTCATTTAGCAAAGTAATTTTACAGAGCAATAAAATACACAAGAATTACATCTCAGCCATCTAATGTAAAAACATAAAGAACACTATACAGCTGATCACCCAAGCACACGCTGCTATCTACACCAAAACAGAAGAGCATAAGTTAATAACACTTTTTATTAGCACCAGGCGAAGAAGAGTCTCTAGAGCACACAAACTACCATTGAACTCGCATGCTCTTTCAACGGTTTATTTTCACGATCAGAGAGTGATGAGAAGTAAAGTTCTGGATATTTCCATTTATAAATATGTGGTGTATTTTTTTTTTATGAAAATTTTATCCATAGATTTAGGAAGTTACAAAACAGTGGTTGCTTCCTCAGACACGTCCGCAGGAGAAATAATTCTGACAAAAACCGGCAGCAGAAGCACAAAAATGGCCATTGACTACAGAAACAAAATCCGAGAGTTTGGAAACGTCAATGTAACGTGCAAAGAAAGAGAGAAGGTCGCAGAAGACATAAGAAAAGAAATAGAAGAGCTCGCAGAGCAGATGAAAAACAGAGGAGCAGAGAGAGTAAAGATCATGCCCACATCGCATGTCTACGGGCTGCTGAACAATCTGATAAACAACTACACACAGGCGAAGGGCATATCTTCAAACGAGCTGGAGATAGAGATAGTGGTTCCCTCAACATACACACAGCTCCACAAAAACATTCTTATCAAAATACTTAACCTCATCAACCCCAAGGTGCAGGTGGAGTGCATCACCGACTCCATGGCGCTGTCCTCGTACTATCTCAGCAGAAGAACACCCTCAAGCTACAGAATGGTCGCATTTGTTGACATAGGAGACGCAAAGACCACGGCTACTCTCGCTGTGATCAAAGACACAAACATAAACGTTATAAACAGAGTAACAGTGGAAGCTGGAGGAAGAAACATCACAAACCATCTCCTTGAAAAAATATACAGCGGGCTGGACAAGAGCATCCCCGATCTCTTCAGCAAAAAAGAGTTCAGAGTGCGAAACATAAAGAAAATAGAATGGATCAAAGGGGCTATATTCGGTCTTCCATCTGTCAGCACACAGGTCGATGCTTCGTACGACAAGTCTGTGGGTGTCTGCATCACCAAGGCCGATATAGAGGAAGTGCTAGACGAATTCTCCGAGCTAAAGAAGAGCTTAAGCTTGATACACAAAGAGATGAACGATGAGTCTGTTTTGGAAAGATACAACCTCAACTCTGAAGAAGACATAGAGCAAGAGCTGCAAATAACCGGAGGATCCTCGAGAATGTTCATCTTTGAAGATCTTGTGCACAGCATATTCCAGCTGAAGCCAGAGGTACACCTGAATGCAGACGAGTCTATTGCGCTGGGCGGTGTGTACAGAAGGCTTATGGAGAGTCCTTTCCACAGATTCAGATACGATCCTCTGATCAAAGACGTTCTTGACCATCCATACGTCATTCTGATTTCAGAAGAGAACGCAGAGACAAGAGCCATAAGAGTGTTTGAAAAAGACACAATCTTTGTGAAAGAAATGAAGTCAAAGATCCTTGGGAAAAAATACGACACTTCGATAGTTTTAGAACAGAACCCAAGAAAAACAGTTAAACTATCCAAGATAACAGAGAGAAGCACAATTACAGTGTGGTCAGGAGACTGTCCAGTATACATGCTGAAGCTAAAACCCACAGAGACTCCTGCCGCCGAAGAAGGAGCACCCAATCAGAAACAAAACACTCCAGAGCAGACACCCAGTGATGGAAAAAAAACCGTTAAGCTAGTTATGTCTCTAAACGGCACAGGAAATGTTGAAATAACATCAGAAGATGTAGAGATGGTTGACGCACTGGATATGCTGAACCTTGCAACACTGAAGAGAACAGAAGACGCATATTTAAATAGAGAAAAAACCGTTTTAGAAATAGAAGGAAAGATAAACAGCATACAGGCATCGATGTTTGAATCGATCGAGCTCCTTGGCGGCGAGCTATCAACTCTTCCCTCAGCAGAAGCGGTGATGGCAGATCTCTGGGAGCGCTCTCAGACAGTAGAGTCTCTTGCAGCCTCAGCAAAAAGCATGCAGGAAGTTCTGGCCTTCGAAGAAAGCGTTGAGAAAAAGCTGTCCCTTGAAAAAGAGTGGAACACACTGGCCACAGAGGTAGCTTCAAAGGTCTCCGAAGCACACTCTCTGGAGCTGTCTCCTCCAAAGTACCCCGGTGTGCTGTCTCTGTACAGCATTTCTCTGCACATGGAGAATGAAGCGCAGAAAGAGCTTGAGAGAAGAGAACGAATCAGAAAGTATGAAGAAGAGCAGAGGCAGCTTGCAGAGCAGAGAAAGCTCGAAGAGCAGAGAAGAGAAGAGGAGCAAAAGAGGGCTGAAGAGGAGCAGCAGAACCAGGACAACCAGGAGGGCATAAAAGAAACATCAGAATAGCAATACGCGCACTAAGAGAGTGCAGATTTAAATTTAAATAAAAGATGGACCAATTAAATGATAGCCCGAGATATTGTCACTAGCTTAGCATTCAGCTCTTTTTTAATTACCACAAATGGAAAACTGTAAAAAAGAAGGGAATAGCCGAAAAAGGAAAGGTTAGAGCAGTACATTGTGTAGATATAAAAGTCTTTTATTTCTAGATCATTATTAGAAAGAAATTACTTCATACTGCTGTTTCTGCTTTTTGGGAAGAGAGCTGCCTGAGGGCTGATTGTCAGCGTACAGATGCTTTGGCGCTTTCTCCAGCAGTTTTTTGATTCCATACAGAGAGACAGAAAAGGTCAGACCCAGTATCATAAACAGGGAAATAACCGCCACTGTGTCTGCTCTCATCGAGTCCAGCCGAATCTGTTCTTCTTCTATACACAGCGCATAGCCTATTAGCATAAGCACAATAAGTATCATGCTCTTTTTTGAACTTCTCGGATAAATAGAAAGGCTGTAACACTGTTTTATGTTTCTCGCTTGGCAATTACATTTTATTTTAAAACAAATTTGTCTACGAGGATGTAGAAACAAATTCCAAAAAACAAGCCAAACGCCCCGAGAAACAGCACTTCTTCTCTAAACTCTTTTGATCTCTTTTTCTGCAGGGTAGCTTCAGCTCTCTTCATCTCTTCCGATATTTTCTCCTGGCTTCTTTTTATTTTGCTGAGCTTCCCGTCCGACTCGGCGAGTTTTTTTGTGGCCTGGGAGGAGATGTCGCACTGTTTCTTGATGGCATCTTCTGTCCCCGCAAGCTCTGCCTCGTGCTTCTCTTTCCCCTCTATTTCATCGATGAATCTTCTCTGGAGCTCTCTGCGCAGCTCTATTTGCTCCGGCTCGCTGTACTTTCCTTGGATGATCCGGCTGATTAGGCTGCTTTTGTTCTTCTTGAGCTGGCTCATGGGAAGAGTCTTGATCTCTTCGAGAAGCTCTTGTCTCTTCTCGGTGCTGCTCTTCATTATTTTTTAGAATAAAAAGCAGATTAAATATCTTATTTTTTTAATCTATACCAGAAGCAGCTTAAAGTATTTTTGCAGCTTTTTGCAAATTCTCTGAAATCCGTTGCATTTACGCCGCAGCTAGGGGCTTCTCCGTATAAATATATAAATCAATTGAAAATTTTTAATCGATGAAAAAAATGAACACGCTAAGTAAGATCATAGTTGTATTAGCGCTATTTGTCTTTGCCATAGGCAGAGTTAGCAGTGCTGATGTTCCTCCTGCACCCCCTGCAGATGAAAACTCCAAAGATGCAAATCGAGACTCAGCCCATGGCTCAGATGAAGAAGCTTCCTCTGAACAATCACCACTTAACTTAAACAATGATTTAGAAAACAGAGCAAGAAATAGACAGGCTCTTAGGGATCAAGCTGCTGCCTTGGAAGCATCTGTTACAACGTCTTTATTTGATCAAGCAGAAGCTGCATATCAAAACGCTTTAATCAAAGCAACTCAAGAAAGAGAAAAAAGAACCAGAGAAACCACAGAAACTGAACCAACCAGTAGCTTCGTATTTAACAAGGAAGAAAACTCTTCAGAGAAAGAAAATCCTATAGACACTCCAGTCAATAAAGAAGCTGAAGATGCTGCAAAAGAAATACCAACAGCCAATAACGATGATGCAAAAGAAATACCAACATCCAATAACGATGATGCAAAAGATGACAAGAACACTAACACCTACACAAGCTTTATGCGAAAGAATGGAACCATCTTCATTTTCTTCTGCTTTGGCCTCTACATCGTAATACTCTTCAGTGTGCTGTACATGAACAACATGGAGTACCAAAAGTACAACACAATGCTGCACGAGTTTATCAGAAACCACCCGTCTTTTAAAAAAATATTCACCATCAGCAAAACACTGTTCTTCAGTGTCCTAGCTGCAGTATACACTTTCTATGTTATATTAATTCGGCCAAGTACCCGTTTGCAGGAGATTGTTTGCTTTTCTCTTGTTCCTCTAGTTGGGCTGCTAATATTCGCGTCTACATTCTCATACAGAATGAACCAAGCAGGAGTGCCTCTCTTTATGCAGATAGCACTGATTGTAGTGCAGATCATTGTTGTCTTTGTGATGGGTCTCCTTGGAAGCGGTCTGTTCAACTACAAAAAAGCAGCAGATATGTTTAAAAAGAACCCAATTGTTGCCACGATAATATCGGTTACTAGCATTTCTTTCATATACACGCTCCTCAGGATTCTTCTTCCTGCGCAGTACGAGTTCTGTGCTGACCTGATATACTTCTCTGGAATATATGCATTTGTCTACGGCGTGATGGTTGGAATGCAAATTCTGATGAAACTAATTAAATGGATGAGACAAAAACACGTGTCAGAAGAGTCAGCAGAGAAGCACAAGGGAAGAGAGCCAAACTTTGAAAACAATCCAGTCTTCTACGCAATTATATCTTTTGCATTCGGAATTGTGTCTCTTCTTGTGTTTACTCTGGTGCTGTACTTTGAAAAAGAATGGCTGCACAAGGCTCAGGTTTCTGCCATACTATGGGGAATTGCCAAGCTCAAAAGTGTGTCGAGTCTCCTTGGCATATCTTCAATCATAGAAGTTGTAAAAACCAAAGTATCCAATCTAGTGGAAGTTTCAAACGTTCTGTCAGCTCCTATAAACTAAACCAGCAGATGCGAATAAGCCGCAAACACCACAGCAAGCACACTCTGTCATGCGCCTAAATAATAAATAATTTGATAGTAAAATCTTCTTCTTTTTACAGTGAACAGCAGTGTAAGTACTATCTTACCTTCTAGCACCAGATATTACTGTGATACACTGCTCCATACGTTAAAAAATAGAATAAATTCAATGATTGATTGAGATATCCAGTCATCCTGGTGTACATTTATACTATGAGCTCAGCGGTGTCTATACATATTTGATGAGTTTTACGGAAAATGAGAATATTCAAAGAGTATCCATGGCCCAACTTGAACTCATTTGAAGACTTTCTATAAGAACAAAAGCTGCCCGTGAAAAGGCACAGCATAGCCCAAGAATAAAAACAACAGATCATGCAAGAGTATCGATGCATCTACATAAGCACACCTCTACACAAGCATATCTTAGCTTAGTGCCTCTATGCATACCAATTGAATGGTGCATAGTGTAAATAAAGCAAGTATAGCACAACAGTACAAAACTCTTATCCATTCTTTTCCTCTTTTCTTCTAAGCTCTATGCAGTCCTTCATCCAGCACTGCACATGCTCGGGCTCTCTTTATTGCGAGATGCAGCGCCTAGATTGTTTGTAATGAATAAAAAATTCAGTATAATTGAATTGTTTTTGCTTTATTTGCAAAATAAATGGCAGTGCTTAGAACAGGACCATTAAGGCCTCAGTCTGTCAGAAGATTAGCAGCAGAGTACATGCAACTGAAGAATGACCCAGACAGCAGCTGGTTTAAGATAGACCCCGAGCCCGCAGACTTTACCCCTTTCTCCGATGGAAACATTGAGTACGTTCGCAAATGGGAAATAACCATCTTCGGATTCAAAGACACAATCTACGAAGGATACACTCTCAAAGCAGATATTTATTTTCCCTCAGACTACCCCCTCTCCCCTCCCAGAGTCATGTTTACCACGAAGATGTACCATCCGAACATATACAGCGACGGAAGAGTGTGCATCTCCATTCTGCACACAGCGCAAACAGACCCGCACTCTGACGAGCTAGACACAGAGCAGTGGACACCCGTGCTCTCTGTTAGAACAATCCTCCTCTCCATTATGCTTCTGCTTAATGAGCCAAACCCAGACTCACCCGCCAACTTGGACGCATCTTTGCACTTCAGAAGAGACAGAAAAGACTACGAAGAGTACGTTAAATTAAAAATACTGATAACATATCCGAATTCAGAAGGTATAAATTAGAGGGTGGCTGCAATGGTTATAATAAATTATATTGAAGTTATAATAAAAGTTATTTATTTGGTTTAGCATGAAGAATCTCAAGAAGACAATAGCTGAAGAGGCTGCTGCCATCAACAACAGAGTCAAAAAAAGCTCGATCAGTGTGTCTCTATCGCACTCCAACGACCCAGAGGTAAATCTCTCTGAAGAAATGCCCATTCCAGAGGCTCTTAGGCAGATTAATCTGCTGAAAAATAAAAAATGAACGAAGAAGCAGAGCAGTACAAAAAGAGGCTGACGAATGCGATCAAAACCTTGGGAAACATATTTGGGTACGAGGTAGAGCTCAGGGCCAAGAACATACTCCTTAGATCGATATACGCCTTTGACGAAGAAGACGTATTTGTTCTGCAAATAAGCGAAAGGGGAATAAGCGTAGAGGCAAACTCTTATTTGAAAAAGTTTGAAAAAGAAAAGGCCATATATTTAGACCAGGGCCGGTCAATAGGGGCTTTCCTCTCTGCGGTTACTCTCTCTCTTTTTGAGCAAAACACGTTCCAATAAACCTATATTTATTTGCAGATTTTTAACCGAAAGTTCGCGCAAAGCTGCTTGAGCCAGATATTTATGGATTATTTATTTTATTTTTATGGGCATTGAAGAAGAGGTAAAGGACGCCATAAAAAAAAGAAATAACAAGAAAGCAGAAAGTCTGTTCTCGAAGAATCTCAGCAGCTCTTTCAGCGTAGAGCTGTACCTGTCCTATCTGTCGTATATCTCCAGCACAAACCCAGACATTCTGAAAGAGTCTACAGCATATGCTTATAACCGAACAATGTACAATATGCACAGCATAGACATCAAGATAAGGTATCTAGAGATTATAATGGAGGAAGATGACCCTGAAAAAGTAAAGGAGACGTATAGCAAAATAGTGCAGATACCCATGCTCAAGATAGAAACAATAATAGAGCTCTATAAAAACTACGAAAGCACAAAGAACAGATACCAGAAAAAAGAAGCGGATCTGCTTTCAAAAGAAGCTACAGCGGTTGAAGAGTCCACGAAGATACTGCAAATAGGCACGCCTTCTGCGCTCATAGAGTACATTATAGAGCAGTACAGGAATAAGTACTCAATGTACACAGTAGAGTATGTGCTTTACAACATAGACGCAATAATTAACAATCCGAGCACCACGAGCAGGAATAGAAACAAGATGTATCTGTACAAAATCCTCCTCCTATCAAAAGATGAAGTAGATAAAGACACCGTAGTAGATAAATACAGCAGAGAAATAGTTCTGGCAAACGGCGTCTCTGAGAAAAACGAAAAAATCAGCGAAATGCTCTGGAGCGCCATCAAAAACACGTCAGACAGTCTGCCTCTGCTCTTTATTCTCGTGGGGTATACGTTCAACATAGAAAAACTGCTAGAGGTAGCGCCTGCAGGCATAACGAAAAAAAGCGAGTCTTTCTACCTCATTCTTTTCAGTGCCATATTAAAGTACAAAAACGTGGCAGGAATGCGAAAGTACCTGATTAAGTTCACAAAAGAGAAGAAAATAGGATCGATAGTCTACAGCTACTGTGCAACAGTGGAGGGCCTGATAGGCGGGGGGAACAAGTATGCAGGAGGAATCTTGCTGAAGGCGCTTAAAATGTTTTTAACAGAAGAGTTTGGAGGAAAGAACAAATACCACATATCCCCAGAAGAGAACACATACAGACTGGCTGTGGAGGGAACAAAACTTCTGCTGTCACTTGGAGATGTACAAAGAGCACACATTTTGATAGACCTGTACAATAGAGAGGGAGGAAAGAATAAGAAAAAGATTGCTAAGGTGTCAAACAGCCCATCCGAGACAGATCCCAAGCTTCTAATGGTGCAGCACCAAATACTCTACGAGTCAGGCTTTGCTGCTGTGCTCTCTATAGCCAATGAATACAGGTATAGCGACATCTTCGAGCTACTATGCAGAGTGTACCAGGTAGAAGAAGAAAAAGAAGTTAAAATGCCAGGAGTGGTTAGAAAGCTGATAGATAACCTGCCAAAACTATCTGAGAATCAGAATATATTCAGTGCGGTGGATATCAACAGCATACTTAGTATGCTCGTAAGTATAGATGTAGAGGGGTAGACAGAGATGAGTTTGTGTATAAAACCATCTGTTTTATCTGCGAAGATAAATATCGGTAGAAAATGCAAAGATCGCATCGAACTGCCTTCTAAAGCTAACTGTGTTAGCTCTGCTAAGATGTAAATGCATGGTATGAATAAATATTATTTATAAATTTTCGTAGCTGTTTTTCCTCGCTTTTCCGTGCGCGAACTGACCAATTAGCAAATATTTTCCTTTTGTTTCATCTCTGGCTCTGGCCAGTATGGAAAACATTAGGAAGGCGCAGCTGAGTGAGATAGCATCTTCTGTGCGAGAAGACAGCAGCACGTCGAGTAACGACCGCGTGGAAGAGGATGGACTGCTGGATATGCTCAAAGGCGCAAACAAAGGCCTTGCTGGATCCCTTAAAACATCGAAAGATACCACAAAGACTCTTAAGAGCCAGGGGAAAAAGCTAGATAGATCTCTCAAAAAAAAGAAGAAGATAAGAAAGAGCATTGACGAAGACGAAAAAATCACACAGAAAATCAACAGCGAGTCTCACCTGATCATGCTCAAAGGTAAATTCTTTGATAGTGTTCGCAACTTCTTTAGCTCCAACAAAAAACACAACGAAGCAGTTGATAAAGCAGCACAGGAAGAGGAGGATAAAGCAAAAGAAGACAGAGCGTCTGAGGATGACTCGTTTTCTTCCGAAGATGAGGAAATAGAGAAACGGCTGGAGGAAACTGACTCTGACGCGAGCATAGACGATGAGCTTGAGAAAACGCTGGCAGGCCTGCAGTCTCTTCGAAGGAGCGTGCACTCTCAGACACAGCGCATAAAGTCCCAGACGCATGCAACCAAGGAAATGAGAATATTGGATAAAGATACGGTGGAAAGATCCAAAAAACTAAAAGAAGAAGTCAAGAAGATAAACTAAACTACAGAGACACTCTCTCCCACTGATATAATCTTGTTCTTTATTGAATGCCAAAATATACTTCATTGCCATACAGCCAGATACACGCTAGCTTTTCATCACACGTTAAACGAAATATGTACTAATTTAATCTTCTGAGCCTGTATAGTCTTTGCGCACTGGAATCAATGTGTACCTAGTAAATACTATGCTACACCTTTGCTACACCATCCTTCTTAGTTGCAGCTGTTTGCTAACTAAACATAAAATAAATAAGCAGAGACTTGTAAAGATAAACCAATCCCTCTGACTATTAGCTTATTTTACACTTTGAGAATACGTTAGATCGCACACCAGCAATAATTATAAGAATAGATAGCTAAGTAGCCCAGATGCATCTACATCAAAGAGTTCCATCTAGATATCCTTCTATTATTTCCTGTATGACCTCCTTTGGCATCACTGATATTCCTTTCTCTTTCATTTCCTGCAGAAACTCGCTGTATATAACATTTACGTCCATTTCGCCCTGTGCCACCTTTTCCTTTATGAACTTGTGGTACTGCCCAATCGACTCGCCGTTGTTCGTTTTTATTGGCTCTATCTTTTTTGTCATGACGGCTCTGAGGTCTTTCTGCTCTACTCCTGCGTTCACCTTTAGGATGCTCTCCACCTCCGCAGCCTCCTGCCTGACTTCCACTATCTGCTGCACGCTGTCTTTTGCATACGGCTTAAACTGCACGCCTTTGCTGTTGTACTCATTGCTTATAAAAACCACCTTAAAACTGTACTTCGGCCTTTCTTCCCTCTTAAACTGTCTCTCCAGCTTTTCTTTCTGTCTTATAAAAAGCTTGTCCTTTTTTGGCCCTTCAAATTCATCCACTATTAAAACAACTGTGATCGATGGCTCAATGGAGCTCTCCACTCTTATAAAAGACTTGTCTATCAGCAGATTGCTGTAGTACACCTCTACATTCTCTTCTCCGAGCAAATTGCCTATCTTCTCCATGACATACGTCTTTCCTGTGCCTGGCTTTCCGTGTATGTAGATGGTGTGTCTTGTGCTGTCGCCCATGTACTCTGCTATTTGCTTTATTTCCTCTGCTCTTCCCTCTATCACGAGGCCCTCAATGCGCTTTTTTATGTGCTCTTTCTTCGATGGATCGTTTAGCACTTCGTCTATTTTGTCCAGTTTCTTTATCCGCTGCTTGGGTATTTTTACTTTTTTTGGTAAAAGTGGTTTTTTAATCTTTTTCTCTTTTTTCTCTTTTTTCACTTTTACTTCTATCTCTCCGTCTGTTTTCTTCTTGTTTGGTCCTCTTTTCTTTCTTGGCTGCGCTGGCTTTGGCTCTGTGGGCTCTTTCCTTGGGCGGCCTCTTTTGCCCTTTACCGGTGCTTGTTTTTCCTTTTCCTCCTCTTTTTGTTTCTCCTCCTTTCTCCTCTCTTCCTCTCTAACAGAGATGTCCAGAGCTTTTTTCAGTGGTCTTTTTCTTTCATTTTCTCTCTGCTTCTCCTTTCTTTCAGCGTCCTCTGCTTCCTCTTTTTTGCCTGCTGCTTTTGCATGCAGTGTTTCCTTTTTCTCTTTGGGTTTGGTGGCTCTCTTTCCTTCCACCTCTTTTGTTCTTGTTCTTTCTCTGACAGCTATCTTTCTCTCAGACCTTCCCATTAAAAAAAAGACACAATAACTATTTTTATTACTCTTTTACTTTTATTTATTTGCTCTCCAGATATTTGTATATCATCGGCGCAACTATTTTCCGGCTTATCGCATTGTCTACTTTGTACACCACGATGTCTTTGTCCCCGTTGATTTCTCTCTTCTCCACAGGCTTTCCCTGGTAGATCCCTTTTTCTATGAACTCCATGCTTGGGAGGTTGTACACGTAAAACTCTCTTACGTTATTTACCTTCACATTTAGCAAAAAGAACTCGTGTCCATTCTTTTCAACGAACTCCTTTATCTTCTGTTTCCATGCTGCGCTTCCATCCCTCTGCACCCAGTCTTCGTACGCATATTTTGCCGAGGAAATTCCAAAGGTTTTGTTCCCGTACTTTGCCGGATAGTTAAACGACTTGTAGTCCATCTGGAGTATTAGCTCTGTTGCTATCTCTGATTCGCACTTTTTAAATTTTTTCAGATCTGCTAGCACGCTCTGCGAGTCGTCCATTGTCAGATTCACCGACTCCAGCAGGCTGTGCACTCCGTGTATGTCTACGTTGTGCACTCTCTTCTCCAGCCCGCTCGTGTCTGTCATGATTGGAATTGTCAGAAGAAGCAGAAAGTTGTACTCGGGCGTCTGTTTTTTTTCTTCTAACAGCTTTGCATACTTGCTGTTTATGTGCCTGTATATCAAAGAGCAGCACGATCCTGCATTCAGCTCGATTGTCATTCCCTCCACCTTGCTGTGCATTTCGTTGAATTCAAGTATTGGATGATGGTCTATCACTCTATCTACAGAAAAGTTTTCCAGAAGAAGAAGCTCTGCATCTGGAAGGTTGAAGTCGATTATTGTTGCAACCACAGTCTTGTCCTTCAGTGGATACTTTTTTGCTCCATGCTGCAGGATCCACTCGTTGTTTTCTTTTACCAGATACACCAGCTGCTCAGGGTCTATGCCCATCATGCCGCACACTGTCACCAGATCTTTTTTGCATTTAAATATTTCCTTGCTAAGATTTACTACGGGAATGCGCCCCTCCATGGCCGCGAGAATGTGCGACCCTATAAACGAGTCTTGATCGCACGATGGGTTTCCCATCACCACTTCTATCTTTCCCTCTGCAATGTGCGAGTATGCGCTGTTTAGCAGTGTTTTCAAATTGCTTTTTCCAACTATTTTTGTGTACTTATCCATGCTGTAGCTCCAATTTTTTAACTTTTCTATTTATGCTTTATTCGCGGGTGTTTTTGATTGCACCAATTATCATGCCACCAATTGCAAAACTAGATAAGAGAAAAAGGTAAATTAGGCTTTTCTAGATGTCTGCACGATTGGACACACTGTACTTCTCAGACTATACTGATAAGGTGATAGATTAAATGTTTTTTCATTTGCTATTGCGGCAAAAATAAGAAAGATGCACACTTCTCCTATTCAGTACAATGGTATGACTTTTCTGTTTTGCCTCACTAAAAGGGAACTTAACAGCTGCTTTTTCATAGATGTAAAAGATTCTCATGCTAGCACTCTCGGGTTGTATTGGACTAGCCAAGATGTAAATACATTTTAGTGCTGAATCTGTCAGCAATTCTCTGGTTGTGATAGAGCATAGCACAAATTAAAATAGCATTCCTATACGAACTATATAAAGAGTTTCAATTTGAGTACATTAGCATCTTTTGTAGCTCCATTAATAAAAGAACTTGCAGTAATAAAAGTGTTTTTTCTTTGTGGATGCAATTTAAATACATGTAGGAATAAAAATAAAAATATCCAAGTTGTACACAAAAGACTTTATTGAAAAATAAATGTATATATATTTACTTTAGAAATACTTACGCACGCATACTATCACTATCTACCAGACAGTTTACTTTTTAAAGATATCTCACTCTCTATGCCTATGTGTCTTTAGCCACTCACTCTTTTCATCCAATTTACATGATTTTTCATTTTTTCTGGATAGCCTTCTGGCCTCTAGCTTCTGTCTGCACAACCAATTCAAGAGCAAAAATAATCATAGAGTTCCCATTGTAAGCGTGCAGGAGAAATAGTTCTGGTACTGCTAGTACTATGCTGATATCGGTGTACTGGCTTATCAGAGAGCTTATTTTCTGTTATGTGCCACTAAGAAAGACTTTCATCTTTTCTTGCATTGAAAAACTTTCTGCAATGGCGCAGAGAACTGAATGCTGCACAAACTAAACATAGAGCACGCGAACTACCATCTATCTACTTATCCTAGCCATAAAAAGTAAGACAGCAGGGCATCTTAGATGCTTTATTTCATTTTTAACTGCGCATGAAGTCGTTTTTAATTTTTTTTAATTTTCCATCCCTGCAATGAATACAGAAGTAGTACCAAAAACAGAGACAGAGTACAAGGCAATGGTCGAAGCCAGAGAAAGAATAGGCATTCCAGCCAACTTTGTGTCCTTCAAAAGATCACAGAGAAACGTCTACCCAAGATACGCCTTATTGAAGATGGAAAATGTAACTACAAAAGAGCAGGCTGAGAAATACATCGGAAGAGCTGTTGAGATGTACATCCCAAAGACAAAGGTGCAACTGTCTGGATACAAGGAAAGAGTAGTCACAGGATACATCCACAGAGTCCACGGAAACTCTGGAATCGTCAGAGCAAGATTCGAGAAGAACCTATGCCCTAAATTCATAGGATCATTCGTATACGTGCAGTTATACAAGGCCAATCCAAACTACTTCCAAAAAGACTAAATAAATTATATCTTGATATAAAATTCTGCCATTTTAAGCCATCATATCCAATGACAGTATGTAGAAAGACGTGCTACAGCATCTATAGCTCTTTTTAGCTCTACAAGTGCATAGAATGTAGAAATGCTATTTGCCTGTTGTTCAATCAATGCTCATGCAAAGAGTGCCTATTATTTCCATTATATGCATAGCAGCTAGTTTGTACAAAAAGATCGTCCAAATACAATCTGAGAATTTTTGCAGATAAAGACACTTGAAAGGGTTAAGTGAGCTACATTCACTTGCTTGTAGTGTCATCAAAGATCAAAGAGTATTTCTACTTGACTAAACATTAGCCATAAAAGACCGAATAAAAATATTTTCATAACGAAATCACATCGATACACAGCAGAATAAAGACGGAAACAGCTGATAGCCGCTAAACAAAATAGCACTTTTTAAACGAGTTAGTTCTTAGCCTAGGATTGTATCCTAAAATCTTAGCTCCGCACTCTCCGTAGACTTTCCCATCGCTTGTAATGTATGTTGCATGGCTGGGCGGTATTGCAGTGTGCAAAAGAGAGCACAGCGGACGACTGCTACTGCGCATGCTCTTTGGCGAGTTAGCAGCTATCCTAGACACGCTTCTTGAGCATCCCGGGCAGTTGGACTCTTCTTTTTCTTTGCATGCAGGCGTGATAAATCCCGATATCCCAAGTGCCACTCTTTGGTAAAAGTAGTTCTGTTTGTCTTTTGTCGATACATCCTTCATTAGAAAGTCCGTTATTTCTTCGACTTTGTGTTCCTTAGATATTTTGGAAAATAATGGCGATTCCCGAGGAAGCACCAAAAGAAGAAGAATTCTGCTGGGTATTTCTTTTCCGTACTTCTTTGCAAAGGCGTGTGCGCTCTCTTTGCTCTCTGCAGACTCGCAAATTCTCACAAAGTCTCTGCACACAATGGCAGTGCGCATTGCCTGGCTGTGATCTTCTGTTCCCAGCTCGTTGGTATCCAAATTGATCTCGCTGCAGTTTTTTTTGAATGCATTCTTCACAGACTCTTTTGTAACCACGTACTTCTCTATATCCACGAGATGCTCCAGCTGGTACTCATTTTGTATTTCCTTTGCTGTCTGGATAAACCCTCTTCTCCCCAAGAAGTCCACCATGCTCACTATCACCTCATTCTTAGCTTTCTCCTCCTCTTTTTTTATTTCTTTTTCAATGCGGAGACACTCCTGCTCTTTTTTTCCAAGATAATCAAGGAGAGCCTCCATCTTCTCCTGCACTTTATCTGAAGACACGCTGTTAAGACTGATTCCAAACTTCTGCACAGATAGATACGTTACCTTAAGTATTTTTCTAAGCATCACATCCTTCTCTTCCATGTAAATAAATATTCTAATATAATTATACTATTGTTTATTGTACTAGCGCAGACAGAATTAGCAAACTTCTAATCCAGCCACGCAAATTCCAGCTGAGAGAGCTGCAACAGAACATAAAGATCTTTAGATCAGCCCCAGATAAAGGATAAACTAGGAGGTGTCATCAAACCGCTGCACTCCATCTTTCGTAATTGCACAAAAGTGCAGCTTGCCGTAGTTCAGCACTAGCCTTCTTTTTACTCCTTCGTATATCTCCTGTATTAAGTCAACTGTCTCCTTTACTCCCATTTCATCTGTATGCTTCATTTTCATCCCTGTAATGAAGAAGGGAGCACCGTACCCTGTGGCCATGTGCTTGTACGATGAGCACGCGCCGTACTGATCCACCATAAAAAGCTTTCCTGTGCCTTCAGAGACCCCCCCGACGATTGAGCTCAGCTCAACAGGGCTCCTTCTTAGTCTTCCGTGTATCTCTTCCTGGAGAGCGCTTGAGAACACTTTCTCTGTGAGCTCCAAGCCATTGGAAATATTCTCGTACTTCAGTTGCTCCAGGACAGCCCGTATAACCCTGTCGCAGTCTCCCTGCTTTCCCCCAGAGATCACAGCGGAATACTTCGTTATCTCTGTGCACTTGTTGTGATCATTCTTGGGAACAAGAACGTTATTCCTAAACATTGTGTCACATGCTAAGACAACGTAATCTCTTCCAGCCACTCCAAACAGTACATCCATTATAAATAAATAAATAAAACATTATTTATTCCCGTCTGTCTCCAATGCAATCTCACCGTATTTATATTTACCAAGAAACAACAAACAATGGGGGGAGCTACAAGCAATAGAATACTTACAGCAGGCGTGTGCGCTTTTGTTCTTTTTTCTATACATCCTCAGCTGGAGAGCCCAGAGACCGGTTTTTTCAATGTTCTTTCCATTCTGTACCTCTCGTACTGGATGGGGTCATCGTACTTAAAGTCCGTTGCTGTTCTTTATTTCATTCTCAACTCTACTGATGTTCTGTACATCATCAGCAGAGGCAGACACATTCTCACACAGAACATTCTTTATTCTACTAAAATTCCCGTTCTTTCGAATATATCCCAGGGAAGATCTCTGTACAAAAGCATAAAGAGCAAAAGTATAGCGCCTATTTTCGTGTCTGTTCTGCTGAGGATTTTATTCGAGATAGCCTGGAGCCTAGGCAACCAAAGCAGGAATATTGCAGGCACAATTCCTCTGCTCTCTTCTTCAGTTGTGCACATCCACTCGAGTTCAGTGTACATGCACACATCCTCTGAATACTACGGGGAGTATAAGGGAAAGCAAGGGAGTGGAAACAGAAAAGTCGTGGGGGATAAAGAGAAGTGTGAAAACCCAGGATGGAAAGTTCTTTTGGAGGGACTGGAGGGAAACCCTCCGCCTTCTGTTCGGATTACAAGTGGGTCTGTGATATATCTGCAGGACACAGAGACTGAGGAGTATCTGCAGACATTTGACGTAGCATCGCCTCTCACCACATCGAACCAAGAAGTGTCTACAGCACCCAGCATAACAGAGAAGAGCAGATTTTTGATAGTAAACGAGGATGGAGACATGAGCAAGACAGTGCCCGTATACTTAGATGCATACTTCTATCTGAAGCACGTATCCACGGGAGTATTTGTCCGCGTCCTCAAAAGACGCATAAGTAATGAGAGCAAAAAGTATGAAATTAACGGAGAAAAAGAGACGGGAATAAACAGGAACATTGGATCAAAAAGCTGTCTGTGGTCTGGCCGGGAAATCACACAGAGGCCTCGAGGAGTCAGAAAGATCCTTGAGAGTATTATAGAAAAAGTGTGCGAAAGTGGAAGACAGATAGTGGAGAATGCAAAAGAGAACGGAAGAAAAGAGAAAGAAAGCCGATCAAAAAGAGCAGGAATATACAAATACGTATACAACTTTAATGTGATAATGTACATTGCACTCTTTGGTCTGGCAGTGCTCAGAGGTGTTCTCGGAAAAGAGAATGTGTGGGAGCAGGTTATGTCCTGTCTGCTCGATCTTTTGATTTGTGTGATATTCAAGAGAAACATAAGAGATACAATGTACTGTGCAGGAGTCATTGGAATACAGCACGGGCTAAAGCTCCAGGCACTGGTGAAGGAAATTATGAGAAGTAGAGAAAAAGAAAAGAGATCATAAAAAATAAATATCTTTATTAATAATACGATGCTCACGCTACTAAGCTCAGTATGGTTGGCGGCCAAATGCCATTGCTCTTTCTTCTAGCTCTGCACTCCTGTTCTATACGGACGGGGGCTGAGGTCACTGATCTGCCTTGTTTTGGGATTTTCGATCGGGCTGTTCCTAAGCACTGTGATCCACCGCATTTTAGCCTTACGATCTACCTTTCACACAACTTTCTTCAGTATTTCTTATAATCAGCTAACAGGAGTCACTAGCTGCTTTCTCACAGGCTTTGCGGTACGCGTATGCATTAGTCTTACTACCAGCCTCTATCCTTAGCCTTACGTTCGATCTTCCTGTTAGTCTACAACATGCCTTCCTAGCTCTGCGGTTGGGCTTGGATGCTGATCTGCTTTCTCACGGGCATACGATCTGCTGAGTCCTTGAAATTGCAAACTGCTTTCTCACGGGCTTTCTGTCCGCTTATGTGTATAAGACTTACGACTAGCCTCTATCCTTAGCCTTATGTTGCTCTTTCTGCCAGTTTAAGATCTGCCTCTATCCTTAGCCCTATGATCAGCCATCCTCTCTTCGCGTTTTGTCTACACTTCTTTGCATTCTATAGCTTTTTTCCTGAAAGTGTGTGCTCTTTGGCTCTGTGTGTTTGCTGCTGCTTCGTATGTTTTTGTGTCTCTTCCATGTTTTTTCGAGTGTATGATGTGTGATGATCATGTTCTCTTTTTTGCACAGAACCTTACTCCACTGTGCTCTCTCTTATTTTTAAAGTTTTTTCATTTTATAGTTTGATTTTTGGCCAGTTTTATGCAAGACCTGCACAAACACAAGCCAGCCATCTGACCAAGTGAAATAAAATTTTGCAAGGCTCAATTCCAATGCATAGATGCTGCTGCGAGTTTTGGACTGCTTTTGAACGCATGCCCAGCTATGCTCCGAGAGCATAGACAAAGATACTTGTTAGTTCTTCGGATCACTGCCCTTTAAATACCTTTTTTTCAATTAATTCACCAAATAGATTAAGTATCCAATTAATTTACTACATTAATTGATGCGAATAGATCGATCAATGGAAGGAACTTATTCCGCAGTAATACAAAGGCCATAGAGAATAGCTCAAGAATAGAATGATGTGTCTGCATAGACTAGCATAGCATACTATTCTGTGTATAAACAGCACCTATACATTTTAACAGAGAAAGATTCTTTGTAAAGCAGTGCTAAATGGCTTTATATGACATATACGATCATCTACTAAGAAATAAGAAATTCATCTAAAATGAAGAACATCGGATGTTCTCAATATGTCTGCACAAAAATAAACAAAGATTCTTTGATGAAAAAATAGCTAGCACAGGAGATTATAGCTGTGCGCTGAAGAACAGTCTCCACCAATCATCTGATGCAGTGATCAGCATGAAATAAAAACTAAACAACTTTTATTCTAGAACAATTCGAGCATAGAGCTCTCTTCTTCCTTTTTCCCCCAAAAGAGACAGCCCGAGGAGCCAGGACGCGTTGGTCCATCCAAATCCTTCACGCGGAACGTACCTTATGTCTGTTCCGATGTTTCCGTACTCCACATTTACCTTGTGCGTACTTTTTTCCAAATTGTACTTTTCTGTCACCACTCCATTATACTGCGCAAATATTCTTCCTATCATAGTGCACCACTTCAAGGCAAGAGACTTAGCGAGCCCATCATACCCGTAGTTGACCAAACCTGTCCACCCAATTATCTGATGAGGAGCCCATCCGTACGGATAGTCCCACTGTCTCTGCATTTCTCCTTTTTCCAGGTCGAGTGTGCAGCTCTCTTTTGTTCCCGTAAATATTCCTCCTCGTCCTATCAAGTCGCCAAGACCATCAACAAGCATAGCTGCCTTCTCTCTATCAGCAGCCTCTGCATAGAGGGGATACAGAACAGTTGCTCCTTTGTATGTGCTTAGTTTTTTTGTTTTTCCGTTATAGTCGAAGTAGCATTCACCGTTCCACAGCACTGTGTTGATTGCTACTTTTCTTTTCTTCGATATTTCTGCTATTTCAGGTACACTGCGCATTTTAAGAATATCCTGTTCTGTCTTGTACAGCAAAGAGTTCAGATCCACTGTGTATAAATAAGATGCTATTCCGTCCACTCTTTTGGAGGTGTCATGGCCTGACTCACGAACTGCTCTGTCGTTCTGCAGATACTCTTCCAGTTCTTCTGACACTTCCTCTCCCTTGTTGTACCTTTTAATGTACTCATTCAGCTGCTCCACTGACCAGTTAGCAGATCCAGGTACTGTTTTTCTGATTGCTGAAAAGAAATGCCCTTCCTCTGTTTCCATTGGTATTCCTTTTCCGCCAGGCGTGTGCCGAGTAAGCCCCAGCTCTTCGTCGTATCCTCTGTGGAAGTAGTAGTATTCTTTGATCATAGCATCTGTTGCTGATGCAAACCAGTCCTCAAGCGAGCTTTTCTCATTCGGTGCAAGATGCAAAAATAGCTCCAGCACAAGAGTGGAGAAGAGCGGAGGATTTCCTCTGAACAAATAGTACGTCCTGTTTGCATTGAGTATTTTTCCATACGCCTCTATCTGGTATCTCAGGTTCTCGGCAATGCAGAAGGCTTCAGCGAGCTGTCCCGACATTATAAGGCCCTTCGCAATGAAATACGAGTCCCATCCGTACATTTCATTGAATCTTCCCCCAGGGACATAGAAAGGACAGGGACCCACGCCCCTTTGGATGTATCCTCCTCGCTCAGACGGCGGAACAACAGGATTGTGCCAAGAACTCGCAAAAGGTATATCTTTTTTGTAACTGTCATAACGGCCATTAGTACTATTGATACAATCATTCTTCATATTTTCTGGAATAGTAGGCGATGAAAAGAAATAGGTGAATGAAAGAGAAAGCAGGCCTGGGGCAGTATCGGATAGGACTTCACGGGTTGAAAGCGAGTCTGCAAAGTACACGCCAGATGGCGCGTCTTTTGATGTTCTTATCTTTACCATTTTGACTGTAAATCCAGACTCTGCCAGAGCGCTAATAGTATTTTTATAATAATGGATGGAAGGAATGTCAAATGATGGAACATAGAGAAAGAACTCAACGCGGGATATCTTGGTGTCTATCAAAGCCAATTTAAGCCCGTTCAAGTCTAGGACTCTCCTAAGATTCTGCCAAAAGCACGTTTTGATGAGGCGCGTGAGTCTGTTGATGCTGTGCTCGTTTAGAATAGTCTCTGGCACTATAACTGTCTTAAGATTGATGTCCGCCAGTGCTAGCTCCTGCAGCAGTGTGGAGATAGAGTAGTTTCCTTCGAGCCATGTCTCATTTCCTTGGTTCATTTCGATAAGATATCTCTTGGGCCCAAGATCATCCACTGTAATGGTGGAGTCTTTAGTGGTGTCTTCCTGGTCTAGAAGCCGCTGTATTGTGCTCTGTATATTGCACACAAACTCTCTGTTCAAGTTTGTCTGTGTGGACTTTCTTCTGATTTTGGACTCTTTAATGGGCTCGGTCTGCACTGTTCTTCTTCTGCCTTTTGTGGGCGTCAATTGGGTCATAACAAAATAATAAAAGAGAATAAAATATATAGCACACAGATAATAAAATTGCAAGCACAGAGAACTTGAGAGCTTCTGCAGAACTGAAACTATTTAAAGTATCTTAACTAGCCCAGAAAATAGGCACAAAGAAAAAGAACCTTCTATTATTTGCACAAGTAATTGCTGAATGCCTGCATTGCATTTGATAGAGTGCTCAGTTAATGATTATTTACTAATACGGAGATAGAAACAGTCTCTGAATATAAAAATTTATTTAGTGAGAATGTTTGTTTGAGCTGTCTCTATATAATAGCGGTTGCATTGTGTCCTGTTTCTTTGAGATGCTTGAACAAGTCGTTTCTGTTGGCGAACACGCTTTTGCACTTGGCACAGGACATAGTGAACGCAGTGCCCGTTCTCAGATCACGGTCTTTATCGCATGGTGCCGATCTTTTCTGAGCTGGCTCTTTCCTATTTCCTTTCTGTTTGCTAGCTGATAGCGGCTTAGCAGATTTTTTGTGTTCTTTTGTTCTTGTGTGCACTTCTTCCTGTGCGGTTTCTATAGGATTATTATCCACTGGTGCTGCAAAAGGCTTTGTGCGCAGTGGCTCGTTATTCCTTTCCACTCCATAGGAAAAAGTGCTCTCCTGTTCTTCTATTTCATCTAAATCTGTGCACACAGCATCTGTACCATCCTCTACAATGGGCACATCTTCCAATTTGCATTGCTCTATCTGGTCAATGAGCTCTTGTATTTTCTCTGGCTTCATTTGTTCTAGTTTTTCCTTGTGCTTTTTTGACTTCGAGTGGTTTCCCAGCTGGTTCATGCTTTTGAATGATTTATTGCACAGCGCGCAGACAAACTGGTCTTCATCCTTTGCTGCCTGTGCTTTTTCTTCTTTTTTCTTCTTTCTTTCCTCCTCCTGTTTGCTGTACTCCATCTCCATTGCCTTTTTCTCTTCTTCTGTTAAGTTGTGGCTGTCTGTGAGTATCACTCCGTTTCTGCTGATCTTTGGCTTTACAATGTTCAGGTCTATCTTTTTCGGGACAACACGCAGCCTCTCGTCCTTTTTCTGCAGGATTTTCACTAGCTCCTTGACCTTTGATGCGTACTCAGCTCTTCTGGTCTCTACTACTTTTTTGAAATCTTTTTCTATTTCTCTTTTAATATGCCTCGGATACTCTGCGTAGTTTCTGTCAATGTCCTCGCACGAAAAGTTGAAGTGTCTCAGCGATGAGAAGTTCAGGTAGAACTCGTAGAAGGGCCGGGGCATTCCCTTCGAATACCCAAATGCAGGTGCCCTAAACAGTCCTCCCCGTGTTATGTTCTCTACTCTCGCTATTTCAGCAAACAAGTTGTTAATCATTGAATAGTTCTTTTCCTCTATCTTCTCCAGTGCCTTTGCTTGCGCAATAAACTGGTCTATGTCCAGCTCTGGCTCCTGTTTTCTTGCTGGCACTTTCTTTGAGGCTTTGTCTCCGCTCTTCATGAGAATCTCATACGCCTCTTTTATTTCTATGAACACATCGTCTGAGGTTTCTTCTCCTCTTGACCTCGCTGCATCTGGGTGGTACAGCATAGCCAATCTTCTGTATGCTTTTTTTATTTCGTCTTCTGTGGCTGTCTCCGAAACACCAAGTATCTCTCTAGGCGCTCTGTTTCTTCTTGCAAGCGTTGAGGATCCTTGTCCCATTAAAATATTCAGTCGAAAACAGAAATAAATACAAATAACAGCTGTGCAATAAAAGTACCATTTAAAAAAATAAAAATAGTATCCATTGCAAATTTCTACAATTTCTTCTTCTTTTAGATCCAATGAGAAATAGCGCTGCAGAGTCTACAACTTACGTAATAGAGCCTCTAGAAATTCTTACACCGGACCATATAAATAACAGAACGTTTAAACTGCCATCAGAAGAGCAGACAGTGTGTGGATACCATTTTCAGAGATATACAGCTAGAGAGCAAAATACACTGTATATATGCATTTGTGTGTGTTTATTTACAATTAAAGCTTTCTGTGTATGAGCTAATAACAGACTGTTGCCTATATGATCCTCTAGAATTTTTTTATTTTTTGTTATATGGATTTAATTTGGATATTAGTACTGATCTTGGCCTTTGTGCCAGCTAGTGTGTTAGGGACATCAAAAATAGGAGGAAAAGCGCCTAAAAGAAGGAGTTTATCGCGGGAGATAGCAAACGTGACGAAGCTTGCAAATGAGCTTGCTATAATAGACAACATGAGCACAAAGCCGCCGCCGCGCACAGGCTCAGGAAGGGGCGAGTACATTGCAAACGAAATGCGCAGCATTGCAGAAAACACAGAGATTCAGATGGACAGCTTTTTCAAAGACTACAAAGAATTCTACACCGCAGAAGAAAAAGCCCATAAGAACGTGGTAACTGCAGAATCATCGCACGGGCTCGTGGACATTGAAAACTTTTTTGATCCTGAGACCATCCAGAGAATTTGTGAAAACAAAACAAACACCTACACGCTGATGAATCTCCTTGTGGAGATAAAAGAAGAAGAGAACATAGACATGAAAAAGTGTCTTGCATATGTGGAAGACAAAAGAAAGCCGAAGAGTGAAGGGCTGAATAAGGACTATACAAAAGAGAGATGTAATACGCTGGCAGGGTTCCCTTGCACGCTCAAACAAACTTTGAAAATACTGTGCGCCCCAGAGCTAAAAATAACAACGCCCAGGTCTTGCATCAATCTGCTTGATTTTATATGCACGCTGTTCTGCAGGATAAGTGTCAACAACTTCCAGACGATAAAGTACGACTATTGCAATGTGGTGAGCGAAGCAACAAACAAGATAAATCTATTCGTGGCGTGCGAGGATAAGCTCCTGGAAAAGTTCAAGAACACAAAGAACCTGCAGGGCCTCATAAAACAGCATGAAGAGGTCATCAAAAGCCTAAAAAAGGTAAAAGACCACTGTCTAAACTTTACGAAAACAATGCCAGAGCTATACAATATTCTGCAGCTGATAAAAAACGAAGGCGCGCTCTACATCAGTGACTTCCTGCAGATACCGTACGACCCCACCTCGAGCACACAGCAGGAGCACATAATCAGATCGCTGAGAAAAACTCACTACACTGACTTAGTAAGGCTGCAAAACGACTTTACGGTATACGAGAAGCGCATAAACGAAATAATCACAGAAGTAAAAGAGACGAACATATACAAGTTTGACGACTTCATCAAAGCATGCAGGGATATATTCAAATACGATTTCTCCATCCTGTTTGATAAGCTGATCGAAGCAAGCAGCGTTAAGTCTCCGTCTGCCCTCCAGAAAGAGCAGCTGGACAGCATTGTAAAATCAATTACCAAAATGAGCAGATTAGATAAAGAGATAGTAGAGACTGAGTCGATAGTGCACACGAGATTCTCAAAAAACATATACTTTTATCTAATAAAACACAATATAGACAACGACGACATAATATATTTTCCAATAGACATACTATTGCTGATATATCAGAGCAATAGCACCTTTGAAAAGAAAATAAAAAAACTAGACATTTACAAAAAGGGGCACATAGGAAACTCAAAGATCAGCGATTACAAAAGCAACTCTGAGCTCGCCAGCGCAGCAAAGAAAATCAAGAGCAAGTACATTATACTGCACATCAACTATATACTGGAGGACACAATGAGGAGACTGTGCGAGTTTCAGTCCAAAAACAAAACCATTCGATCTAGATTCTACAGAAGGAATCTGGAGAACATCCAAAGAACCATCAGCGGAATTTCCGAAATAATTAATTCTAAGGAGCGGATAGACATTGAGTATGTTATGAAACTAAAGACCATTGTAAAAGATATCTTGCCTATATACAAAAAAATACTATACATACTGGACTCGAAAGAAAAGTACAAAGACCTTTTGAAAAAAGAAATGATCCACTTAAACCAGTTGTATGCAGACTGCTAGAGCAGATATCTTCTATACCGGTGCCTAATAACAAATAAACTACATTCTTAGAAACTCTTGGACTGTGCTATTGCTATCTAGTTAAAAGCTGATTTATTGATTAAACTTTTTATACTAAAAGACTCACTACACGTTATTTTCATTCCGCAGTAGTGGTAGCTATCTAGACTCATTTCTACAAAGTCTGAACTGCTCACCAATTTAACACACATATTTTGTTTTTATTTCAATTCGAGCATCTGCTAGTATTTTCTAATTTATGATGTAGCAGATCTCACAGGCATGGGCACTGAAATTCAATAAAAAGTGGAGTAACAAACGTATCTACACACTCCACTATAGCGCTACAGCCTTTCTACTCTCCGGTGGTGATAAAATTAAGCGGAGTGCTCACTTACTTCTATTTCTGTTTCTCTTATCACATGATACATGGACTCGGTCCTTTTGAGGAGAAGTGTCCGATACTTATCCACTGTTCCATCTACTAAAACATATCCATCAGAGTTTATCTCCACTCTGCAATACTCTCCGTTTATTTTTCCGTTAATTACTATATTCTCTTTCTCTATCGATATGTCTACATTGTACAGTAGCATTTCTACTATTATTTCAACATGCGTACTATTCTCTAGCTTGTTCTCTACATCGCTGAGATTGTACAGTTTGTATGTGTAGTCTGGCTGAACATACGAAAACAGCCCGAGCATGCTGTACAGACGACTTGTGCTGTTTATTCTATGATATCTCACAGGCTTGTGCTGCAGAAAAGAGTAGTCCACAGACTCTACCCCGTGCCCTTCTACACCCTTTAGCTCTTTTATTACCGATCCAAATCCCTTATGCTCCTCCTCTGTGTCGTACTGCAGCAGGTTTTTCAGCAGCTTGTACACATTGTAGTACTCTCTGTTCTTCAAGTGCAGCATGATTGAGAACGTAAATATTCTGAAATACGACGACCACTCCTCCTCTATCAGCGAAATGTCTACCTTCTTTATGGCCCTGTATATACTCTCCACTCTTTCTTTTCCTATCTGTATCACACTGCTTCCCATGCTCTGTGCGTCTTCTCCGTCGTCCTGCTGATTTTCTTTTTCCTCTCTTTCGTAAAAAATATCTATCACAAAGGTTTTCCCGCTTATCATGTAGTTGGCTCCCTGCTTATTCTCCTCTGCATAGAGGTGCCATGAGAACTCATCGCAAAGTAGCTGCAGAAACTCCAAATCACTTATGCAGTCTGTGTATGTGTAAAAGGCGTACTCGTAGTCCTTCCACCCCATTAAAAATAAAAATATTAAGCAACTATATGCACAGCCCTCCAAGCTTCTTCTCTGCAAATAAATACAAAACCTCCACAGATTTGCACATCTCATTACACCATTATATTTTCTCATTTATCTTTCTCAATAAACAGTTCCAATTTGTCTCTATGGTATATCTCCAGCAGATAGACACTCTTCTAATCTTCTGCGCATAAAATGCACAGACAGACTCTCTACATGCAACTACCGAACAGTGTGTATTAATATAAAAATTTCTTGCAAAGAAAGACTTAGCATGGAAGACGGAATTGCAGTGGTGCATGTGCCCCGTGTAAAACAGCTGGACTCTTGCTGTTTGATAGTGGAGATAGACAGCTTGAAGATTTTAGTCAACTTTGGCACAGAACACAGCCTGTCCCTGGAAATATACTCCAACATAGAATGCATCAAAGACGTCACGCATATTCTCTTGTGCTCGAGTGAGATCACATCGCTAGGCGGTCTGCTGCATCTGCAAAAACTGGGCATCAATGCGCCGATATACGGAACAGTGCCCATCAAGATTCTTGGAAGAATAGAGCTACTAGAGAGAATCGAAGTGCTGAACAAGTTCCACCTCGCTGACACGTCTGAGCTGCAGCCTGACGAGGCATTTGATAGAATCATTCCGTTGAAATACACCCAGACAGTTGAGCTATCAGATGAGATCACAGTGGGCCCTCTAAACAGCGGAAGCTCCATTGGGGGCGCAATTTGGAAGATCCGGAAGAACGAGCAAGAGTGGATTATCTGCGACAAGGTAAATCACAGAAAGATAGCGCATTTGGACGGAATGGACATATCAAACATCTACAAGCCTTCAGGCGTGATAATAAACAGCACAACGGTCAACAAGGAGCAGATGTCTCGGAAAACAAGAGACAAAACACTGATAGACCACGTGCTAAAAACAGTGGCAAGAGAAGGGAAGGTGTTTATACCCACGGGATACTTACAGCTTCTGGAGATTGTGATGACTCTGCACAACTACAAGGAAACTCGGGACATTCCCATGTCATTGTACTCGTTCTACGGCAAAAAATACTTTGACATGGTAAAGACAATCCTCGAGTGGACAGGGAGCTCTATTCTGCACAAATTTAATCAGGAAAAAGAAAATCCATTCAACCTCCTTAGTTTGACGTTTTATGAAGAGTGTGCGAGTAGCCAAGTGGATGGAACTATTATCTTTGTGATCGACAAATATGGAAACTCAGGATTTTCTCCTGTAATACTTCCCTACATTGCAGAAAACCCAAACAACCTAGTGCTGAAAGTGATAGACACTCTGCAGTACAAAGAAGAAGAGTGCAAAAGCGAAAGATTAGCTACAAACTCTGCAGAGGAAGGAGTATCAAAAGATAAAGATGCTGAAGTAGAAGCAGAGGCAGAAGAAAGCAGTATAAAAATAAAAGATGCATCCTCTGAAGAAGAAAGTGCAAAAAAAGAGACAGTATGCACAATACAGATATCTCCTATCAAATACTCTCGTCTGTCTAGCAGCGAAATAGAAACAGAGTACAAAAAATCAAAGAAAGAGCACGACGAGCACGAAGCGCAGAAAAAAATAGACAGTCTGGTAAAGCAAAAAATAGAAGACTCCTCGGAGGAAGAGGAGGACAGGAGCCAAATATTCTACAAGTTCTGGCACGAGCTGCAGGATGAAATCGAAACAAAAGAAGACCAGATAACGTACATGGAGTTTGACATACGGTGCACAGGAAGCGAGCTGCTCTTCCCAAACCCTGCTAAGAGAAAGCCAACAGACGAGTACGGAGAGCCTCTGTACATCCAGAAGGAAAAAGAAGTTGAGCAGGAGATAGAAGTTGAAATGGAGCCCAAGGAAATCCAGAAAAAAACTTTCCGAATAAGCGTGAGAAACGAAGAGACGATAAAAATACGCGCAAGAATAGAAACACTGCTATTTTCAAATGAGTGCGACATTTTCAATCTGAAAGTTGTTCTGTCGGGGATGGATGCAGAAAAGATAGTGGTGTGTGGAGAGAATTCGATGTACAGAAAAATACTGAAAGATTACTTCTCCTACACACGAGCCTCTTCTACGGTGCTGGAGCTTTCAGATAAACAGGAGATGGCAGGTGTAAGACACACCGTTCCGCTAAAGATCAGAAACGATCTGCTGCCGTATATAAAAGTGCAGAAGATTGGAAACAGCCTTATAGGATACTTTACAGGGCGAGTAGAGAAGACAGAGAAAGTTGCGTCTTTGGAGATAGAAGAAGAGCTCCCGAAAAAAGAGAATATTTGTATAGGAACGGTTAAGCTAAGCGAGCTGCGACAGGTGTTCATAGATGCAAAAATAAAAGCTGATGTTATAGACGACAGACTCGTGGTGAACGAAGGAATAATCATCTACTTCGATGGAGAGAATCTTGTAATAGAGGGCGATGTGTCAAAAGAGCTCTACACAGTGAAAAGGCTGCTATCGCAAAGTGTGGCGTATCTGAGCACAGAATAAATATAGGTGAAATGCCTGTCTCAGCCAGAAGCAGTCTATTCTGAGTAATAAAGCGCATAAGTAAGTTTGTTAAAAGTTTTATTGCTTAAGTTTGTTGCACTGCATGTGTTCATTACACATTCCATTTTTATTTTTATTCTAGTTGGCAGTAGTTTCTAGAAATTATTTGATCAATGTATTTCATTCATCAACTTCGGTTAATTATCATTTTAAACAAAAACAATAAATAAACAAAAATTATTTTTGTTATTAATGAAGATTAGAGATTACGTATTTATAGGAGCAGCAATTCTATGCAATATAGATTATTCTAGTTGTGTAAGAGTAATAAAAAAACCAGATATGTGTGTAGACAACAGCGCTTGTTCGGAGAGCCAGATCGATGGTTATATGCCTCCAGATCCAGATATGTGCCCAAGCAACAGCGCTTGTTCGGAAAGTCAGATCGATTCTATGGAAAATCCTCTTAAAGTTTCTAAAAAGAACCAGAAGACAATAGATAGCGAAATTAATTCTATTCCAGAAACTATAATCGACAACGGCACTACAATTATTAATCCAACAAACGAAACTTATGGAAAATATATGCTAAACATTGAAAATAACACAGTATTAGCAATTATGCTTGAAAGTAGGCTAATAAACCGTATATTGTTTATACATAAAGTAGGCTCAAAAGCTGAACATAAACACTTCACATATATTGGCAGAAGAATAGAGTTTGGAAGTATTTCTGAGAAAAGTAAAGATAAAATTAAAAGTAAAGGTAAAAGCAAAACTGCCAAGAAACGTGAAGAGTTTACCAAAATTGAATTTACCTTGCAGGAAGACATAAGAAATATATCTCTGCAATGCTATATTGGAAACAATATAGATCTATCGAGTAATGAAAACCATTCAGAAATAACTATTTTAGAAGAGTTTAAAAAAAGTATATACTATATTGAAAAGCTAAGCAGAAAAAAAGAAGAAAAACAAGTTTCCAACGTAGGAACTATTAAGAAGTCTTCTGACAATCCAACTTTTGTACTTTTTTCTGCTAGTGCTTCTCTACACGCAAACGAAGTAGACCTTTCTTCTTCCTCCGATTAAAACTATGAAATACTTATAGAACTATTCCATCCACATATTCTCCTTTAAAAGAGCAGTATGGAGAGAAGTTAATGCGCATAAGTAAACAATTTAATAAAACAAATTAAAAAAATAAGCATACACAGCATTTAAAAAGTTTAATTAGCTAATGGACACTCAACTCCTTAATGTTCTGTTTGGCATGTACAAAAAAGATATTCCTTCCATGTAGTCTGCAACATTTTCATAGGCTTGAGTAATATTTCCCACTATTATTGGGGTACTAGTTGCCACATTACTAGTGGTATTTTCTAGCATCTGTGTAGCTGCTGATGTGTGTTCTTTCATTCCACGGTTTATAACAAAAGATTGTATACTGTTATGCAATATTATCAGCACTAGTATTACAATAACAGTAAAAATAATAACTTTCTTGTGCACCTCTCTCATAAAAAGAATATCTCTTTCACTTTTATGCCTACTAAGTTCATCCTATTGATAAAAACATTTTTATTAAATCAATTGCCACAAGTGTTCGTAAAGTGTAGCTTTCTCATTTATAAATACACTTATAAAATTATTTGCATAGAACACTTTTTATTCAGAAGAGATCCGTATTGGCAAACACAGGTGAAAACAGACTATTTAGTAGAGAAAAACAAATAAGCAAGTATGTGTGTAGTAGTTGTGACATAAATTTATTATCTATTGAATTACAGCACACTAAAACCTCTATACTTACGCCAAACTATTGCAGCCAGTCTTCTCTGAAGTGTTTTTGGCTGTTGTTGCTTTTTCCTATCTTCAGCTTGTTTCTTTCCATTCTTTCGGTAAACTGTCTGATCTTTATCTTCTCCTCTTCGCTCTGTTTGGGAGCCTCTTTTGCAACAACCTGTGTGTATGTCTTTCTCATGTTTTTATAGTACTCAATGTCTCGCAGAGTCTGTGCGTAGTACTTGTTGTACTTTTTGTTCCCAGCTACACGGCCTGACGGGAGATACAGCTCGCTTCCGTCCTCTGACACATACCCAACGCCCTTTTCTGGATACTCGTAGAAGCTGTCGTACTCCTCCGTGTTTATATAGTTCATGTGGTTCATCGACTCCATGTGGTTTCTTGCTTTGTTAATGCACGAAAACCTCTTGTTGCAGCAGGTGCACATGCAGTACGATACTTTCTCTTTCAGATGTTTAATTAAACCATCTACATTGATTATGTACTGCGGAAGAAGCAGCTTGAACCCGTGTGTTTCCAGATGCTCCATGTAGTTTGTGCTTATTTGGCTGCAAAAGAGACACTCGTTGTCTTTTAGCTTGTATACACCAGTCTCTTCCATCTTTCTTCCCTCAGGCAGCTTTGCGCTGACTGCGTCCTTCTCTTTCGCTTCTACTTCTTTCACCGGGTCCAGGCCAATCAGCTTTCTTTTGATGTTTTCTTCGTGCACTGCGCTCTGGTAGTGCTCTGTTTTATTTTCAATTATCTCGTTGCATGTTCTGCACTTCATTAGACTTTTATTTGCAAAATTAATAAAAGTTTTTAAACTTTTCGCAGCTGCACTGAATGTTTAGAAAGCTCAGAAAACTCTACTCCTCCAGCCACTCTTCTGTATACCTAGCCAGTAGCGAAGGAATGGATGGGCGCCTGCCTGCAGAGCTAGCCATTAAGAAAATTAAAGGCAGCAAGAGCAGAGAAATCGAGATATTAAAAAAAATTAAACACAAAAATATCATCGATGTCTACACATGCTCTAGTAGAAGCTCCAAAAGAGGCTATATTGCTATGGGCTACTACAAGTACAACCTGAAAGAAATACTGCCAATAGCTTCACTAGAGTACAAATACTATATAATCAGCTGCATTTCAGAAGGTCTTACTTATCTACACAGTCTTAGCATAGTCCATAGAGACATAAAGCCACAAAATATCCTGATCGATGCACATGCAGTAAAGATAGCTGATTTTGGAAGTGCAAGATATCTCCCCCTAGAGACACAAAAAGACAAAGAAGATTCCAAAAAAGGAAGAGAAAACTCTACTAAGACAGATATTTGTGCTAATACTGTAGAGATGGCTTCTTCTGATGCTTTAGAGAGTGCTTGTGAAGATGGCTTCCCTATTAATGACAGCTTTGAGAGCAGTAGCGACTTTGAAATGTGCGAAATAAATAAAAATACACTCGAACGCTACGAGAATGAAGAAGAAAATAAAAAAGAAATGACAGGCATAGTTGGAACTCTCAACTACGTTCCCATGGAGATTCTTCTGGGCTGCAGAGAGTATGGATGCGAAGTAGACTTGTGGGCAGCAGGATGCACCTTCTGGGAGATTCTTTTCAATGAAGTCTGTTTCGAGGGAGACTGCGAGATAAACCAAATAGGAACAATAGTGTGCAAACTTGGTGTTACCAAAGAAGACAAAGATCTTCTAGAAAAGTATCCATACAGCGGATTTGTGCCCCTTGCAGAAAAAAAAGACCCGTTAAAAGATCTGTCCCCAACAGACAAACACATCTTTGAAAATCTTCTGATCTTCGATGCACAAAAGAGATCTTTTTACAGCATAGACACACTCCAAAAGCTCTTGTAGATGAAAAAATAAAAGTAAACCCACCAATTTGACATTTTTAATTGAATCAAATAATAACCCGTTCTGTTTAGTTTATTTTAGATATACAGATGAACAAGATACTCTGTGCTAGCACAGTGATGCTTTAATCTCACGCAGGCGCCCCTTGCGGCTTCGCAGTAGCATCTTTTTTAGAGCTTGAGTGGGCATCATGCGGCTCGCCTGTCTCTTTTCCTTCTGCTCCTTCCTTCGTCTGCTGAACTTGGTTTGGCGATGTTGTCACGAGCGAGGAAAAGGAAAGAAAGACCATGACTAAGAAAGATAGAATAAGAAAATACTCTAGTGAAAATTTCATTTCTAGCCCCTGTAGGTCCTCGCTATTATAATATCTTATCCAATTCGCATGCAAAAACTGCCCAATAAGCGCAATCTCTGTTTCAAAATAAACCAATCTTCTGCTCCATGCATAACCGAAGATCTGCCAGTGCTCAAGTGCCCGCAAAACATCGCAATGTAAGATCAAAGAATACTAAGTTATTTATTTTCTCTGCTTGCTCTTGAATCTCTTGAGATAGAAGCTAAGCTCTTCAGCCTGTAGTATGTGGCCGTCAGCACTGCCAGACTGCCCGGGCCTTGAGGAAATGACTCCGTACAAGTTTCCTTGCTTGAACTCTTCTACGAAAACAGGGTCTATCTCTGCGATGTCTGCTTCCTCTTCAAGGATTTTTTCTATTACGGGAGTGTATCCAGTTGGGTCTAGCTTTACAACACATCCTTTGGTCAGAGTGTTAGTTCTGACGAGCTCGTTGTTGCTTGCGTTGTATATGACCTGCGTGATTGCGCACTTCAGCGACACGTTGTGCGTCTTGAGAGTAAAACTGCCTCCAGCGAGTCTCAGTGCTCTCATCTTGTAAGTGCCTCCTCTCACTCTCAGCTGTTTTACCTTGGTTGGTCCGACCTTTGTGTTTGATGCCTGTCTGGCAATGGAGTACTGCTTCTTTGTCATTTTGGCTGTTCTTTTTCCACCTGTGCTCTTTCTCTTATGTTTACCACTTCTTGTTAAACCCATTCTGCAGGGGAGTTAAAAACTGAAAATAAAAAATAGAAAATGTACCGAGCTGAAATACACACCACAGAAAGCGGGTCTGCTGTCCGCATCGTCAACACAAAAACAGCAGAGTATGTTCTAGTCGGAGGGTTTGAGGGGATCCAGCGCTATGCCGCAAGAAATAAGATAAAATGGAGCAAAATGGCAGTTATATGCCTCTGCAGCCGGTTTGAAGCAGTGCCAGCTATTTCTGCAGTGCTGACCCATGGGATCCAGAACAGCCAGCGCACAACAACTTATGTGTGCAGTGAAAATACGCTGAATACAGTGGGAAAGATCGGAATAAGCATAGGAAACCTGGAGTTCTTTGATAGATACAGTCCAAGCAGCAAACAGTTCCCTCGCATATCGATCCAGGAGATAGAAAACATCTCGTATTTGATGGTTCCTCTGCCCGAGAAAGCAGGAGGATTTGACATCAAAAAGGCAAATGATCACAACATAGTGGAAAAGAGAGATATCATACAGCTCAATAAGACAGGGCAGGTGACAGTGGGAAATATCACACACTTTCTTGAACACTTCAAAAAGCCCACCATTCATTACCCAAGCATACTTGTTCTTACACTCCTATCTCCCGACTATGTCATAGATATACCAACTATCACAAATGCTCTGGCGTCCTCGGGACTGGAGATATTTGTAAGAGCGGGACCGGGAGTGTTCAAAAACAAAAAAGAAGAGCACAAAGCCCTGGGGCTTACAACAAAACTAGTTCAAGAAATAGTGAGCATCCACAAAAAAAGCTCTGTAAATACTGGAGAAAGTGCGCAGATGCAGTGCGAGGTCTATACGATGTTCAGCACAGAGCGGGAGACAGAAAGTGTTAAAACTTTTTACGATAAAATGTGCTCTGTTTATAAGCCAATTGTTAGACCTCTTATCTATCAGCCAAAATACACTAAGTATTTCCGAAATAGTAGAGTGCTGACAGATGGGTCTGCTGTAGAATATACTGAAAACAGAAAAGAAATTGCATGTGAGTGGCTGCGAAGTAAAAAAGAACCTCAAAGGAGTCTGAGCATGTCTAAATCAGACGCCTTCCAATCAGATAATATAAATGCAAGATCTGTCTCTGCTAATGAAAGCATCTCTACAGATAAACCGTATACAGTGTTTCTTGGAACAGCTGCTGCAGTGCCTGGTGTGTTCAGAAACGTTTCTTCTGTTCTAATGACCTCCTCTCGGGGCAGTGTTCTACTAGACTGTGGAGAGGATACGCACACCCAGCTGAACAAAATAAGTAAGAGCTATTCGTACAACTACAGGAGTCTTTCGATGATCCTTCTCACACACAGACATGCTGACCACATCCTTGGAGCATTCTCTGTTCTGAAAAAATGCTGCATGATGGGAAATAGAACAGCTTTGGTCTTTGGAAATAGGTGCATGGTCTCTGCACTCGAGCACTTTGGAATATCCTGCATATTCATCCAAAATAGCAGAGATCTAGTGGTTAAAAGATATAGATCTAATGGCAAAGAGTATATCAAAGTAGAAGAGAACAAGGAAGAGATTACTATATGCATTACTGAAAATATGTACAGTAACAGCAAATTAAAAATAGATCCATTGAACTACGTATCTTCAGATAGCACCAAAAAGAGCGTAGTAAAAGTTAGTGTGTCTTCATTGAACACATCAGTAGTAGAGTTTGTGAACCTAAAGGCAGTTTGTGCACCAGATCTCTCTATGCCTGCTGCACATAGCATTATATACGAGGTGAGCATGTGCACTGCTCTGCACATACACGAGAGCTACAGTGTCAAAGTGCAGGAGTATCTATCTAGCAATGATCCATACACTGTGGTGTATTCTGGTGACACTCTTCCAAATAAACTGTTTGCACAGCTGGGCCATCAGGCAGATCTGATGATACACGAGGGAACATTCGAGCACGAGGATCTCAGCTATGCCAGGGCCACAAATCACTCAACTATCCATGAAGCTCTGCAGATTTTCAAAGAGTCTTTGGCAAGCACTTTATTTATTACACACTTCAGCCAGAGGTACAAAACAGTTACCATTCCTCCAGAGGCATATCTGGCAATGGACTACATGGTGCACTCTTCGAACGATCTGCACTCGCAACTAGACCTTCACAGAGCTCTACAGGAGTGGGCAAATGCTAATAACGAGCCATCATTGGAGGATTGATGAAAATAGACAACCAGAAGATTGGAAATAAAGTTTTTGCAAAAATACTCCGACTATTACTCTTAGAATCAGATGCATTCACAACTAAATATATGCTATATTATCCTGCAAAACTAAAAATATTTTATTCTGTATTAAAACTGTAGACACATGGATGGCTGAGAGTTTAATTATAAAATTTACACTAATTCGTGCAAAAATTGGCTAAATATAAAAACTGTTTAATCTGAGACAAGTACATATAAAGAAACTTAAGAGTAGTTGTAATTGTTGAACGGTTGTTTTATTCTGGTCTGTATGCTTCTTTATAAGGCAAACTGAATACAAAATTAGAAATGCCCTTTAAGAGCACCAATGCTGAATAAATTTTCACTAGACAGTTTAATTGAAAAATCAATAAGTTGGGGCCATGGTAAAGCTATACGAATATCCATTTTCCTAATATGAGACACCTCATCCAGTTCTAGCAAAGGGATTGGTCTGTCGTATTTTCTTTGTAGGTGTATGCATTGGAGAATGTTCTATCCTGCTCTTACTTGTCTCCTGCTGCACCAGGCTGCTTTCTAAACTACCTTGCTCTACTGAAGCACTTGGCTTGTGTCTTTTACTTATATAAATATTATTCTCTTCTTCTTCTGCTCTAGCACTGGTGATTCTCGAATAATCGCGTGCACTACCTCCACCTGTCTCATATCTTATGCGCTCACATGACGATATTTCCTTCTCGAGATCAGCGTATATGTCCAGCTTTTGGTTTAGCACACACTCTCTTTGGATGGGCGCATAGAACACAGTTTCCGGAAAGAGGGAGATAGATCCATCTTCACTCTCTTTGAAGTACGCTATGTTATTTGCTACCACAGAAATGGGAACGCCTGGAATGCTTCCGCTCAGTGCAATAATTCTGCCAAGTCCAAGAGCATACAGAGCCCCTGAATTCTCAAAGACAAAAATGCCGTTATTTGATATCCCACAGAAATCAATGGAGAGTCTGTTAAAGTAAGCACTGGTAACACATCTCACAGAGGCATCCTCATACTTAAACAGCCTGGCCGAGACTCCTTCGCCCTCTTCTGTAATAACTCCTGTGTATGCACCGCTTGATGCTATTCCCTTAACCACGCCAACTAAACTGAAAATCTCCAGTAGATCCCTAGAGTAGATGGACACATTAGAGTGCAGCCCGCATTCGCTTACAATGCAGAAGAAATCAGTTCCACATGTCATTCTTTCTATTTTGGCCTTTGGCTCTATTTTTTTAACCAGAGCACCTTCAGTGAATGCACCAGTACTGCTTTTGTATACTTTTAGCAGATTCTCTGTATACACTAGCAGAAGATGCTGCGAGGCTGCAGAAAGTAGCACTTGTTTGATTTCCTTCAGAATGGACACCTCCACTGCAGTACTTCGCACAGTCACTTCAATCTGGCTGTAATCTATTCGATCTGAAAGGCTAATTGTGCACTCAGAAGACCAATACAGCATTTTATCTGTGCCATTGCTTATCAGCACAGGACCACACATCCCGTTTACTATGCAGTGTTTTCTGCTCTTATTTTCACTGGGTTTTTGAATGGTCTCTGCGCAGGGCTCTCTATCGTCTGAATGATCAGATATCTCTTTTTCATCTGAGTTGAATAGATCTTCTATCTCGGAGTCTTCTTTCTCTCTTTTTTTTTCATTCGAGCCATCATCATCCAAGACACCTGTTTTCATAAACGCATTTATCTTGGTGTTTGAGTACCTAATGGATGGGAGTGCCTGGTCCTTAACAGCTTTCACAGACGGAATATCGAAGTACTCGTCTCCTTGGTCGTCGTTCTCCTCTTCTCTGCGCACTTCCTTGATTGTGCTCCCTTCTATCCTCAGACTCTCCATCTTTCGATCTATCCACACGTATTCTAGGTCTATTCTGGATGGCTTGCTGTTTACTATGCTGTATATCAGCGATCTTTTTGAGTCAACTACAATGTTGCTGATCTCCTTTGCCAGTTTCTGCGAAAAGACTCTTTTCCCTCCCATCTCGTTTATCTTCATTATTTCCAAAGACGTCTCAGTGAGTATGAAGAAATATCCTCCCTCTTTTGTGCTTGCTATCTCTTTTATCTTACTCTCTGCGAAGTATATCGATGTAAATACCTGCCCCACCTCCGCAAAAACGGTGTTTCCATCGACACAGAATAGATACTTTCGGAAGTGCATGCACGATATGTTGTCATACACCACTTTTGACGGAAACACAATGACCCTTCCTCGCATGTCCAGGATGTAGATATTCACCCCAAAGACCACTACGTTATTGATGGGTGTGTTATGCTTTATCTCTCTCAGGGGCTTAAAAGTGTGCACACCGCCTGCCATCCTGCTGATGTTGTGCATGCTCGCTGTTTCTGTAGTGTCTCCTCCAAGTGACTCCATCTCTTCAAGCCACCCCTCTTTTTCAATACTCTCAGCAGCTGTGCTATTGTTCTGCACGCTTTGGTTTCCCTGGCTCTGCACTGTTTCTATGGACAGTATCCGAATTATGCCGTTTTCTGAGGTAGTGTAGACTATGTCATCCATTATAAATATGGAAGTTATCTTGAGAGACATCTTTGTCACCTCCTCACACTCTTCTAGGACTGCAGTCTCTTTTCTATCGCTTGTGTTGTAGTAGTATATCTGTCCATTCATTGTTCCAATCAGAACAAAAGAGTCATTTAAAGAGCAGGAAACAGCTGTAATCTGCAGCTTGCCTTTAATGCATGTGACTAGACTCATACCAGACGAAAGCGTGTACAAGTATATCTTGCTTCCCTTCACAGATGCAACCAAGTCAGTTCCCTGTGCCAACATGTCCAAATATTAAATATTTTTATTTTTATGCTCTCACAGCTCATCCTAGTTTATCCATTGGCATTACAATAACACTATACAGCTCTTTAACTAACCGCTAGGCATTACTATATACGTTATCCATGGTTCTGAACAGAAAATAAACAGTTTATGTTAATTTGCACATGTACAGAAGACTGGTAGATTTTATATTCATTATGGTCTTTATTGGCTGTTTATCATCATTTGGGCCAATCTTCACCCCACTGCATTGAGCTCTCTTTTTCGGCCTCTTCTTCTTACCTCTTTCAGCTTATTTAGCACATCTTTTCCGTTTTCAGTGTTATTTTTTACATATACAGATAAGAGATCATCAACCCGTGCATCTACAGATATGTTCACAAGTGAGGCCATTGTTCTTTCAAAGACATACAGATCCACAGCTTTGTCCTCTACCTTGTTTGTTATTTTCCCAAGGCCAAAGTCTATTATCTTTACGTCCTGGCCATCTACAAGAATGTTATTCGGAGTTAAGTCACCATGGACTACATGGCTGCTGTGCAGTAATCCTATGCACTCGTACACTCTGAGCAACAGATCAAAATATGTATTTTCTTTGTTCTCTGACATAAGACACTCTTTTAGCGTAGCGCCGGGCAGACACTCTATGACAATCGCACAGTCTAGAGTAACCCCGTCTTTTTTATGCTCGCTGAGCGTATTTTGTGCTGCTTCATCAGAGAGGACTTTTGGTGCTATGCCCAAGTGCTCTATCTTTTTGAGAAGCTTGGACTCAAAGCGTGTTCTTGTTTTGCGTATGCTTTTGTCTATTGCATCTATTCTATACGCCTTAGGGTGTCTTACTTTCACAATGTATCCGTTTTTTTTATAAACTGTTGCTTCAGCACCGATCGAAATGCTCTCCATGTGCATTAATAAAAATATTCGGAAAAATACCAGTCACACAGAGTCAGCAACTACCCAGGAGAGAATATCATTGACTCATAACTAGAGAAATCCAACTAAAGACAGATAGAGCAATGAGCTATAAGAGAGCGCCTCGCAAGAAAAGAAGACCAGCTGAGAGCACAGCTAAAAAGAGAAGCACTTACTCTTTTGCATAACCAGAAATACTCTTACTATACTTACACATTCTCCACTGCTCCATACTCCTATTTACGAGTGCACTGCTAGTACAATGCTGTTTTATCATATACATTGTATTAAGTATATTTATCTCTATCTTTTACTGGTACAGAGGCCGTATGCTTGTTCATTGGTACATTGTTAGATACTTCATGCAGCACCAGCCCAGTATCCTTAATATCTCAGCAGTCTGTAAAAGTATCGTGCAAATAGATAATAGGCCAATCTACCAGGCAATGGCAAAATAGCAAGGTATTAATAGACCAGAAGTAATAAATATTGCACAAAGTGAAATTCAAATAATACAGCTAGTGATTTAATAATTACGGTATATATTTATTTCAAAGCGCACCCACGTGCTCCAATCGCATCCCTGCTGTATTATTTATTCACTAGAGCTTGTGCTTTCCTCCTCTGTGTGACGGCGCTTTCCCCTGCTGTCACTCTCCTCTTCCTCTGAGCTGTCTCTTCCTCCAGAGGCCCTGTGCCCTCCCCCCAAATTCAGCCCTGGGGTCAGGGGCGAGTAGAGCTTCTGCGAGCTCGGAGAGCTTATTCCAAACCCGCTGAGCCCGCCAAATCCGTGGTGCGCCCCGGGGACTCTTTTTGATGTTTGCGGCACATATTCGTGGCTTGGTGACGAGACAGAAGAGCCCATCATTCCCCCCGGGGAGTAGCTAAGCCCAGGAGATGAAGGAGAGTACGCATTCCCCAGGGAGCTGTACACTGTGCTCAAATCAGGAGAAGACCCTGAATACCCGTACCCCATCTCATTCTGGGGCGACCACTCATTCACGAGAGGCCTGTCAAAGCTGCTGCTAGAGGCCATATCTGTGGAGTATATGTTGCTCGATGGAGACAAGACTTCATCTGGCGTGCCGCCCTCAAGGCTTTCATCCTCTTCAAACTCGTACTTCTCCATTGCCATGGCGCCTATCTCGATGCTCTTTGTGTCAATTAGGAGATCTGTTATTCCTGTGCCTATCTCTGCTACCTTCCCCAGCATAACGCTTTCCACCACGCCTTTACATCTGTCTACCTCTGCTGTAGCCCCTGCCTCCAAGAGTATCTCTACAGTCTCCTCGAATGAGCAGCGCATCAGGGCCCCAGACTCTCCGCGGTTGGTTCCGTGTCTGGTTATTCCGCAGATAATGCCTCTCTGTGTCATTATATCCGCTAGTATTGAGAGGTGCCTGAAGTTAACGTACGATCCATCACTTTCTATCACCGATCTGATCTCGTTCAGGATGCTTGTTCTAGCAGCTTCAACTCCCAGCACTCTCCCCATCTCCAGGGGATCGTTCGAAATGGTTCTTGAGGGATCTACTAGAGGGTGGCTCAGCACCTCCTGCAGCCCTGTGCCCTCTGTCTGGAGAATGAACTCTTTTTCTGCTCCTGCGCCTATCTCGTTAATGAACACTCTTTTTATGCGGGAGAGCCCCTTGATCATGATGGAAGCCACTGCAGCCTCTATCTTCCGGAGGTTGTCCTCTGAGTCTGGCAGCTGGCACCTGATCACCAGGGTCTTTGCATTTTCATCGCTGTGCATGCACTTGAAAAGGGTCTTTTGCTCTATTGCCCCCACTACCTGCTCGATCTTTATGCCTCCATCTACCATTGCACTTCTGTTCAGCTCCAAGCGGAGCATCCATGGAGACTCTGGGCTGTACACTGTGGGATCAAGCACGCCGTACGCAAAGATAAAGTCTTCATCAGCCTTCACAGCCTTCATTGTGGGGTCGTATATAATCTCTGACCGCATCAGGATGTCCTTGAGGAAGCACCTCTCTATTTCTTGCTGGGCCTTCTTTGCTCCCTCGAGGGTGTGCCGAATATCCTCGCGCAGGTAGATGGTAAGAGACGGCGTTTTAATCGTCTGCGCTGCATTGATGATCTCCTTGAGACGCGGCACACCGCGGGTCACTGTGCTGGCCACTCCTGCGAGATGGAAAGTGTTCAGGGTCATCTGGGTTGCAGGCTCTCCAATGCTCTGCGCAGCAAGTGTTCCGACCATTTCCCCTGCGGATACGATGGCCTTGAGGAATGACACTCTGATCTTTTCCATTGCCCACTCGAATGCCTGGGCTGAGAGTCGATACTCGCACAGCACTCTTTTAATGGTGATGTATCCCCGCAGGTGAGACCTAAAGAGAGAGAATGCAATTTCAGATATCTCCAGCACAGGGCTAATGGCATCCTGCAGCTCTTTCTCCAGGGCCTCCCGTGCGCGCAGTATCCTTTCGGGGTGCAGCTCTTCTCCGCCCCATGCAGATCCCTCCATGAGGGAAGAGGCCTGGAAATGCCCTGCCTTATGAGGGCCTCCCATCTTCACCACTACGCCCGCCATGGCAGATGCAAGGGCGTACGGAGGCATCTCAGAGGCCACGCGGAGTATCCTTTCCAAAGGCACAGGCAAAGGCTTCTTCTCCCGAGAGTGCGTGCTCTTCAGGCGCTTAGCTTCCTCCTGCAGCATCTTTACTTCGGCTGTGATGAGCGCCTTTGTCTTGCAGGATCGAATGGCGCTCAGCTGCGAGGGAGAGAGATAGTACTCCGACAGGGCAGAGTAATCAATGACGTACAAGCTATTGAACTCAGCAGGGGAGCAGAAGAGGGCAAGAGACTGCATCTCCACAAAGGTGGCATCAAAGCAGTCACCACCATATGCACACTGTATAACATGTCCTTCACCATCTCGCACGCTCTTGTCGTGCCGTATCTGCGCATCTTCTAGCGCCTTGATGAGCCTCCTCTGGATGTATCCAGTTTCAGCTGTTTTAACTGCCGTATCAATAAGCCCCTCTCGGCCTCCCATTGCGTGGAAGAAGAACTCAACAGGAGAGAGCCCTGCAACGTACGAGCTGCTCACAAACCCTCTGGCTTCTGCAGTGTAGTCGTCTTTGGTGAAGTGGGGGAGCGATCTGTCTCTAAATCCGTGCAGTATTCTCTTTCCTTCTACGCTCTGCTGGCCCACACAGGCGCTCATCTGCGATATGTTGATGTACGAGCCCTTAGACCCCGAGACAACCATCTGCTTTATGTTGTTCTGCGAGCGGAGATTCTTTTGCGTTGATGTTCCGCTGGTGTCTCTCGCTTTATTCAGTGCAAGTGTCACTGCAGTCTCAAAAGACTCTCGCATGGACATCCCTGGGAGCCTTTCCAGCTTATTGTTCTCTGCATTCTCTATGATCTCCTCTACGTCTCCCTTTGCCCTCTCAATCGCTTCTTTAATCGTGTCCATGGATGAGGGATCAGCTACAGTGTCTCCTATCCCCACTGAGAATGTTTCGTACGCCATGAGCCACGTGCTAATTGCCCTCTGCAGGGCATCGATGAAGTCCACGCAGACACTCCTTGGGAAGTCGTTGGCAATGACGTGGATTAGCCCCCCTGATGCTGTGCCCACTGTTTTCTTGCATATAATCCCAGCGAGCAGCTCTCCGTTCTTAATGACTATCTCGCTGTCCATTGGGTTTCCCACGTAATTGCTCCCGTGCACGTGCTCTGAGTGCAGCCCGCTGTACGTAACATCGGGAAGAGTAGCAGAGAAGACCTGTTTTCCTGTGTAAAGAACAGCCGGTCTCAGTATAGCAGGCTTGATGTACTCTCTTCCGTTGTCAATCGCGTAGAATAGGTGCATCATTTGGCTCCTTGTTAGGAAGAGGTCTCTTCTAGTGAGCTTGTACACCCCTATTAGAGTATCCTGCACTATTCCCATGACGGGCTTATTGCTCTGCGGGGACACAATGTTCTTTTCCACGAGCGCAAGCTCCTTCAGCTCTGTCTGTGCGGGGATAGACTGCGGCAGATGGAGATTCATCTCATCCCCGTCAAAGTCTGCGTTGTACGGGGCAGTGACGCTAAGATTGAGCCTAAACGTGGAATACTTCATGACTCTCGCTCTGTGCGCCATCATGGACATCTTGTGCAGTGATGGCTGTCTGTTGAACAGGACAGTGTCTCCGTTGTTCAGGTGTCTCTCCACGATGTATCCTTCCTGCAGATTCACCTCTCCTTTGTGGAACCTTAGGTCTATTTTCTGCCCGTCATCTCGCACAACGTAGTTAGCCCCTGGGTGCTTGTACGGGCCTCTGTACACCAGGCGAGTAAGCATATCTACGTTGTATGATGTAACTCTTTCGGGAAAGGTAAGCATCCTCGCTATTTCCTCTGGCACTCCCACCTCATTCATGCTGATATTTGGGTCAGCGGTAATCACAGTACGCGCGCTGAAGTCCACTCTTTTTCCCATCAGATTGCCTCGGACCCTTCCCTCTTTTCCTCTCAGCCTCGCTCTGATGGACTTCAGGGGCCTTCCGTTCTTCTGCAGGGACTGCGGCTGGCCCGATATGTCGTTGTTGATCAGGGTGGCTATGTGGAACTGCAGGAGCTGTTCGTAGTCTCTGATAATGTGCCCTGCGACTCCCTCCTGCTCGTATCTCTTTAGGTTGTTGCTCGCCTTTATGATATCTGCGAGCTTGTGCGTTAGATCATCTTCGCATCTGAGAGAGCCTTCCATGACGATAGATGGCCGCACCTGAGGGGGAGGCACGGGAAGGATTCTGATGACCATCCACTCGGGCCGCGCTTTTTCCAGATCAAAGCCAAGAGTCTCAATGTCGTCATCTGGTATTCTCTTCAGTATTTCCAGTACTTTTTCTGCGCTCAGGACTGTTTTGCCGTCTGATGACTCCTCACCCTTCTGGAACGCCAGCAGATGGAGCCCTTCTTTTCGTATCGTGGGCTGTCTGTTCTCGCATCCTGTGCGCATCCTTTCCTCTGGGTTTTCTTCGTTTGCGATTACCTCTCCCATGCACACAGCCCTGTTCTTGGCTAAACTCCAAATGTAGTTCAGTCTTCTTTTTCTTTCTTTCTGCGACCTTGGCTTTGGCGACTGCAGGATGCTCTTTTCTATTCTCAGCTTCGAGCAGAAGAAACATACGCTCTCCAGCACCTTTTTTATCTTCCCAATGTACCCTATGTGGAACACCGGCTTAGCGAGCTCGATGTACCCAAAGTGCCCCACACAGCTGTCGGGCCGATGGCCGCACGTACTGCACAGAAATCCTCTCTCTGACGTACCGAGCCTTAGATCCACAAGGCCGCCTTCTTTGGGCACTCCGCTCTCCATTGTTTCTGGGTGCTCTATTTTGCACACACTCATTGCTATAATATCCTCGGGTGAAAGTATGCCAAACTCAATACTCTCTACTCTTCGTACTGAAATATCTGAGCCCATTCATTTGCAAAAATAAATAAAATAAAATAGGCCAGTACAAAAATTCACAGAAAATAGCAGCGTAAAGGAGCACGGGCTTCCTTACACCAAGAGGCTTAAGCTGTACAGCAGAGGAGAAACTGCATATATTCACACACGCAGTTCGCAGAGCCTCTCACAGATATACAAACAAGCTCTTTGCCTCTCAGAATCTAGGAATGTGTGCGAATAGAGCAGATTGTACAAGATCTTTATTGATTGGGTATAATAATGTTGTAGATGTATAGACACTGTACTACAAAGGTGGTTAATTTTTCTAGATGTCTGTAACAGCATTTCTATATGTGGTATATGTTCTATACAGTCTGTACGAAATCAGAATTGCTGCTAGATTAAGTATACTCTAAAAAAATGCTGCTGATTATGTCTTTCTACAATCGGCTATCAGTATGCACATCACACCAAATTCCTTCTAAACAGAAATAGATGAGTAGATATGACTGGTATTGCTATTTACTGGTAGTGCAGTGTACTGTTGATTGCACAGTGTAGATGTAGTATTCTTTGTTTCTGTAAGGTGTCTAATGTTGTATAACTCAAGAAGTATTGAGCAGTAGTGTAGTTATGCCTCCCATATTAGATACTCTGGGTCGAGCTGTACGCCTCTGGGAGTGGTATACTTTTTTATCAGCTCTTCTTTCAGAACTATGGAGGGAACACCGTTGTAGTATATCAGCATATTGTTGTGCTGCAGAGTGTGGACGATGTCTTCGATTGTTATGCTGCTTACATCCCGTATGTCGTTGATGGATATTATTCTGTTGTATATCAGTATGTTCGATATAACCCCTGTCCAGTACTCGCGGTAGCTCAGTAGGCCCAGATCACTGAGCGGCTTTTCAGGGGAAGCAGAGACTCTTTCTCTTTTACTCAGCAAATAGGAGAAATCGATGAGCAGTTTTCCGTACCCTTTTCTCTGGTAGTGCGGCAGCACAAGTATGCACGCTATGTTGTATCCGTGCTGAGACTCTTTCTCTTTTGAGAAGTACCCCACTATTTTGTACTCTCGCATGTGCTCAGGATCGCTTGGATTGTATATGCACATAACGTAGAACAAAAACACGTCTATGTCGTAGAAGAGTGTCTTGTGGTCCAGAAAAAGCTTGGAAAGAAGAGACAGATTTCTGCAGTAGTTGCTGTGCACTATCCCGTCCAGCTCAAAGAAGGATATTCCGTCTTTTCTGTATATCTGTTTGCCTGGCGGCCTTTTGTGGATGCAGGTAGAGAGGTGCAGAGCGTGCTCCTGCTCGGAGTTGAAGTAGTACAGACAGTATTCGCATATGCGTATGGTTTTGTTCATCTCTTTGGGGTATGGCGAGAAGTACCAGCTGTCCACAGAATATTCTCCTATTTCTATCCTATCAATGTTCTTTACCCTGTACACATCTTCTGCTACGAGGTTTGTGTTTTTTGGCTCTTCTTTCACTTTTTTCTTCTTTGGATACTCAACCGAGTCTATGTCTATTTTGCTGTGCGGTATCCATTCGTCCAAGCGCTTGTTAAATCCAATGTAGTGCACGTAGTATTCTGCTGTTTCATTGCTGTTTCTTATTGCGATTATTTCTGCCTTTCTTGTGACAACACTGCTGTTATATACACCCGAAACAGACACTTTGCATCCAATTATTAGCTCATTGCCGTCCATTGAAAATATAAAAAATAAAAGATACTTTTTAATATTTTGCACACATCCTGTCCATTGAGCTGCTCGCTGTGCGCTTTTTCTGTACTCTCCTGTTTATGTGTTTATCTGCTGAGTTTTGTGCAAAAATGTGTATTTCCTCTCTGGGTGTTTTAATTTGGGTATAATAATAATAAATTTATTTCAGTTTAATATTTTACCATTTGCAATAGCAATGTATCCTGAATGGTCTAAGACAGCATGGAGTATACTTTAATCTTCTTCTATATTTTATACTGGCAGAAAGATGCACGTGTTTGTGCGTAATGCCATCGCTCCAATCTTTCTTGAAATTGTAAAAAAACTTGATAGTTCACGTTTCCATCAGATGAAATTCTAAGTAAAATTTATTGCTATTGCATATGCCAGCTAGTACGGGTACTAATAGCACAGACTTACTTCCAGTTTAAATGCACTGTGATTGAAAATACAGCTCAAAACAGCTAATCTGTGTAAATTGGAGGAGCAGATTCCCCCAATGCTGTCTGCTCTCTTTGAGTCTTTTTGTCTCCACACACTTCTTCAATATCGAGGCTTGTATCTGGGTATTTCTGTATTGATACGTGTCTTTCTTTGTATTTTATCATTTCTATTTTGCTGTGAGCCATGCCTTCATCATTTTCTAGTAGAAAATCCACTTCTCTATTGCTCTCTATAGCGAGTAGCTTTGGAAGAGACTCAGATGACTCTTGCCGTATTTCTTGGCTTTCTAGCTTTTCTTTTTGTATGCACTCTGAGCTCTCGTGTCCTCCAAACCGTTTGTGAAAGCTGCACCACAGCTTCTTGGAGACAGATGTGCTCCATGCTCTTCTCTCCTGGCTCATTTCTTGATTTTCTGTCTGTGCTTTGCGTATGCACTGCGAGTCATTGTGCCCTCCAAACCTGTTGTGGAAGCTGCACCATATCTGCTGCGAGCTGTAGGTGCTGGATGCGCTTATTTCTGAGCTGTGAGTCTTCTTGTGGCCTTGCTTTCTCATGACCTGTTTTTGCAACTCCTCCAAAATGACTCTTTCTAGGTTCTCCATCTTCTGCAAAGGAGTTTCTAGGTCTTCTTCCTCTTCTAGGAAATATCGTGCTTTTGTTCTGTAGGATAGTCCTGCAATAAAAATCTTTTGGAGGTCTTTTTCTTTGCCTGGTACGGATTCTTTATTTTTTCTCAATATACTGTAGAAATATTTCTTGACTGCTTCGTAGTAGCACCGTATAAAAATAAAGCCTCCCTGTTTAGGCAGAGGGGGAATGTATCTATTTTGTTTATTTTCGTAGTGCTCGCAGATGGCATCGAGCAGTGCATCGCTCTCTGTGTGTTTCTTGCACAGCTCGCGCACTTCCTCCGGCACTAAAAATCCTAAAAGCTCTGTTATTTTGTGATTTATTCCAAAGATTGCCAGCTGCAATTCTACTCTCTCTCTCCATTCGCGCACACAGTGCCCTTGTGTTTTGCTAAGAACTTCTATAGGCATCAGCCCGCTGAACACAGGCTCATCACCTGTCTGCTTTATAAACCTTTTTATTGGAATCTCTCTTTTTCTGAACTCTATGAGCGCTTTCTGATCTTCAGACCACTCTGTTCTGTCTCGGACTATCTTTTTGCCGTTTTCTTCTAGTTTAATCAATAGTTTTGCTATGGCGTGCTCTACATAGGGAACAGCGTTGTGCTTTAACTCATACTCAATTAGTGACAAAGAGCTAGAAAACTCAGATTTATTATCGTGTGTGTTGAAGGCTTGGAAAGTCCTATCCGCGCTACTACTTTCTTTCTCAGATACATCGTATTGTTTCACATTTATGTCCATTTTAACTGTCTAGGGCCACGCGAAAATTAAATTAAATATTTTTCTTGTTCTCGCATCCTCACACTCTTTTAACTTGCCACACTTTCTTACACATAGAATATACCGCACAAGAATCAGCAAGAAAGACAGATGCATACTGAATCGTTATGAAAGAGCAGATAAAACCTGAATTATTCGATGGAGTCTGTGCATCCCACCAAATGATCTATGCATGTCTAATAGTTTTAGTAGACTTTATCTTAGATTTAATTTTACTGTGCAACAAACAGTAAACATATGGCATATTCGTTTTATTGTGTAGAGCAGTGTAAATTATCGGGCTAGTATTTGTTTGGAGCCCTTGCAACTATAACTGTATTTGTTCGTTATGTATTCTTGTGGTAGAAATGCGTTTATGATCATCAACAGAAATGCATATTGAGAACAGTACAAGAAGAAAAAGATCACTAATTTCCAGGGTAAAGAAATACTTTGCAAAAGCATCAAAAAACAGCACCAACGTCCTCTGCAGAAAACAAACACATCCCAGAGACTAGCATCTGCATCGATACGTGCAGTAAGGACGCAGAAGCAAGCAGCCACAGCCCTGCAGAGATGCAGCTGGAAAATCTACAGAAAAAAGAAGTGTTGGAAGCTGAAGAGCAGCAGACACTTTTATCCAAAGAACAAGACGAATCACTGCAGCACAGAGCAGCGACCCCCTCCAAAGCTACATCATTTGTAAAAGAAATAGAAGAAATCATTGTGGAAACAGCAGAAAGTAAAAAAGTATAGGATGCAAAAGAAAAAAAGTGTACAGAAAAATACAAAAAAATAATTTGGTGCTAGTTTTAGAACAACAGAAATTAGATAACATGTACATTGTATATTAAATCATCATTAAACAGTAAATAGTATTGTGGCACCTTTCTAAAAGATGCTCTTTTATATAACTCAGATAGTCTTAGGTGTCTCTAAATGGGAAGATAGATAACTTCTCTAAACACTCACTGCATTCATATGTACTTCTATGGTGATGGTTAAATGCCCTTTTACAAGTACTCAGTGCATTGTTTTGTTCTTTCTATTAGAGTTGAAGTTACCTTAGCACTATCTTTATATGGTATAAAAGCAAGTAGCAATAGCATACTACTATGCATGTACCCTCTGCCAGCCGCTTGAGCACTCCCAAACATAGTCCAATATGTCCACTTTCATCTGCATTAAAAGACCCATCAAGAGCTGCAATTAGTGTGCACTAAATGCACTGCCATGCTTTTGCTCCTGTTAATTGCAGTCTGGACCAGAAAATGGGTCGATTTTTCCTGCTGTGTGCAGATTAAATTAAATCCTAAAGGTATTTAAAGGGCTGGCATTTGCCCTTCAGAATCTTCCCGAGAGACACAGCTCTCTTTTCAATGCGCTTACCAAGAACCCTCATCCTCTGTTCCACTGGATGCGAAGATTAACCTCATAGAGTCTAGCCCGTCTAGCTCTGCACTGCGACAGAAGTTCTCACCCACCCCATGCAAAGCACTGCTAGCATTGAGAAACCAACTCATAAAAATAAACAGTACTCTGCCAGTACGCTATTATTAATAAAAGGCAACCCAACACTTTCCTTCTTTTTGTACAGCCCGAGAATATACAAACACAGAGAATTTACAACATCACCTTGCAGTTAACTCAAGATACATCTACTACCAGAGACTCCAGGGATATTATATTCTTACTAAGGAGAAAATAGGTAGAATCTCTGCAACCATTACTTACAATCACAGAGTTCACAATAGTTTAAAATATAACGGAGTGCTGTTTATTTATTCCACACTATAGTATAACAGTTGCCAGCACCCTTGAGTAGACTGTGTTGTCATTTTTTGTGTACTTTCTCATTTTCTTAATATACGAAAGAACAAGCGAGGAGTTGGGCGATTTGTCGTACAGCGTGTAGAGCAGAGCAGAGACAAGCCAGGGCTCACCAGCTGCCAATATGCCGTGGGGCAGCGTGTGCGGTATTCCTGTGTCCTGTGTAGCTTTTATTGCAGACCGGATGGACATGTCAGCGTACTTATAGAGAGTGCCCTGGTGCAGTGTCTGTCCTTTTCCATCAGTGGTCTTTTCTTTTTCTTTTTCTTCTTTCATTGCTCCATTCACTGAATTGAAGGAGGGATCATTCAGTGGATTCGATATAAAGTGCTCGCCTGACTGAATTAGCCCTGATAGGAAGAGCCCCCTGTAAATCTGGTTGACGAATAAAACTCGCTCATTTGCGGATAAGGTGGCCATGTCCAAGTCCTTGTACATTTTTATGTGCTGTTTGTCTTTGACATCGCACCCCTCCAGGCCGAGGAGTGCTAAGTACTTCAGTGTGTTGCTGCTGTATGTATTGTGCAGCTCAGTAATGCACAGGAGGCCTTTGTCTCTCCCAGCCCCGAGCTCTTTCTGAGACAGCTTGGTCTTTACATCTACGCCTCTGTACACAAAGTGGTAGAAGTAGTACAGCTCCGAGATGTTTCTGCTGCGGCTGTTGTACAGCAGGGATATCTGGCACTGGGCGGCACTCGCAGTGCTGTTTCCCGTCTTAGATAGCATCGCATCCAGCATGTCACTGCACTCCAGCCCGAGTGTCTTTCCAACTACGCAAAGTATCTTGAAGAAGTACCCAAACTCTCTGCTTTCCTCCAGCAGCTCAGACATCTGCACGGGCTTCTTTATGTTGCTTAATACTGTGCTGTGTATATCAAGTATCTTCTTGTTTATGGAAGAGTTATTAAGGGCAGAGTTGTCTGTGTAGTACTGCACTATGATAGTACTTAGTATGCTGTACAGCACATTCTTGTCCTTGTGCTCTGTTAGCACTTCTTCTGACAGGATGTCCTTGTGGAGGATGCCTTTGTACAGCTTATTGCTGTTCTGGATTAAGCTGTAGACAGTGTCCAGCTCTCCTTTGCTGATCAGTATCGATATAAAGGAGTACAGATTGCTGCCAATTGAGGTGGCCAGCTTATAGAGCGTTGATGAGGTGAAGAATCCTCTGATAAAGGCAATGACATCATCAGACACAGGGCTGCTGTCCTTGCTAACAACCCTGAAGACAATATTCAGCACATAGCTTGTTTGTATTGTGCTCTTAATCTGCTCTGGCAGGCTTATTATGATGGCAAAGAGCATTTTAACAGACTCTAGCATAATGTCCTTTCCTCTTCCGCTCTCCTCTGTGCATACGGAGCTGTAGGGGCTGTTTAGATCGTGCAGCTTAACAGCTTGCATCTCGGTGTATATCATGTCGCCTTGCACTATGTAGGCGCTGATTCTCTTTAATATTATGCTAAGTGCGTTTATACTGTGCCCCATCAAGCTGTTCCTGTTGTTTATGGCCCCGTAGTAGTGCGTAGTTGCATCTGACATTCCGTTTCCTCTGATCAGCTGGGTGAAAATCGTTAGATAGTTGTATATGATGAGGGGGTTGGTGAAGACGGGAATGATGTTGTTGTATACTTCTACGATGCTGTTTCCAATGTACTTTTCTAGGGATATGCTGTTGTTTATCGCAGCTTGCACACTGTTCATTCTCTCATTTCCTGCAGGCAGACCAGCACCCATAGCTCCGGTTAAATTGTCAGCTGCAATCATGCTATTAGAGTATGTGTGGAGTATAATGTTTAGGAAGTCCATGATTACTATCAAATTAGATACTTCTGCCTCATTTCCTTCCTCAGTTATTTCTATTTCCAGCACTTCCAGTATCTCCAACAGCAGATCAACATGGTCGCTGTTTTTTACTATGTACCGAATGAAGGGAATGAGGTTGCTGTTGTTCACGGGGATGTGCGTGTAGTTGATAGTCTGTATATCGCTCGCCACTAGGATGTCCATTATCTCAGACCGAATGTTTCCTGGTATGTTCTCTTTTTCCAGTATTCTGACCATAATGCCTACGCAGTCATCATCTAGTACTTCGTACACGACGTATTTGCTGTTGATCAGATCTTTTTTCTTCTTCAGCTCTATGTACTTCGAGAGCAGCTGAAGCACAAGGTGGTACACTTCGAGGGTCTGTCCGCTTATTTCCACGCTCTCTATCAGAATCAGCTGTCTCAGAATGCTTCTGATGTCGATGGGAGGGTGCACGTTGTTCAAAAGGATGTCCTCAATGTATTTTATGCTATTTGCTTCTAGCACGATGTTTAGGGCTATAATTAAGTCGTTGTTTGTGGCAGATGGTGTGATGGGGAGCAGCTCTTTAGCCTTGGCCTCCACTATCTTCTCCACCTGGCTGAGCATAAAGAGGTCTATCTCGCTCTCCGTGTTGGTGATGATCTGTTTTATCTGCACCTTCTTTTTCAGCATGCGCACTACTTCTATCATCCCCTGCGAATGCTTGTTCTTGAGTATGTACAGATACACTGCCTCTACTAGTATTTCTTTTGAGTTAAGCTCAGAGATAGATGGCTTCAGGTTTCGCTGCAGCACATTCAGGCCCATGTTTATGTCTATCTCAGAAGAAAGAATCTTGACAAGGAGCAGCGCCCTGGTGATGCACATGCACACAATGTGCTTATCAATTATTAAATACTCTGAAATGGCATCAAGTTTTAAAACCTCATCGTATATGGCTTTAATCCTGTCGCGAATGGCCCCAAGCGAGCCCGCGGGGGGCGTGCTTGCAGAAATAATGAATCCCTCGAGTTTGGTCGAAAAACTGTCTACTTCTTTTCTCAGCTCATAGAACTTCATGTAAAATAAAAACAAAAAAGAGAATAAATATAGAGAAGCAGTGTGCGCTCTGCCAGAATGCCAAAGAAGGAATAAAATAGAGAGGATGTAAGATGCACAGGCATATTCTACAGAGCATATCTGCACTAGAAGACAGTGCACTCTTACCATGCAGATCATCATTCATCACAAAAACAGTCTTGAATACCGGTAAATAGCAGTAAATGTTCTTCGCAGTGTTCTAGGAGAATGTTGTAATTCGTAGAACACTCTGAGGATACTCAGTGTTTATTTCTGTTTATTGGTGCTTGGGTGTGTTTATATGGTGCTTGGCAGTTAGATAAAAATGGAAAAAGAGCCAACAGAAAATATTTTCATTTTTATTTTATCCCTGCATGAAGATAAATCCAGAGACCGTACAGCCAGTAACAGGAACACCATATGGAAATGGAACCATATTTGGAAGAGAGAGAGGACACACCACCAAGAAAATCATGTCCAGATCACAGCACAAGAAGAACCTCAAGCAGAACCCATCCGAGTTCGCTAAATTGGCAATGGAGAAGACCGCAATGGCAAAGAGCATCGCAAAGGAGATATGCGGGCTGGCTCCATACGAGAAGAAAGCTATTGACTTCGGAAGAAGAGGCGAAGAGAAAAAAATGAGAAAGTTCTTGAAGAAGAGACTCGGATCAATGAAGACCGCCAAGAGAAAGCAAGAAAGACTTTTATCTGAAATGAGACAAATGAACCAATAAAGAGATTATTCTACAGTTTTAGTGTTTTAGTGCAAGCAAAGAGGACAAAAGTAATCCAAGAGACTTTATTCTTCTGATGCAATATTCTCTTGTCTGAAAAGACCACAGCCATGCAGTAGCCTCCATGTGCTATCTACCAAGTTATTTAAACAAGCATCTCTGCTAAACGCCGCAAAGAACAACCAAAAGATAAACAATATCTAGAAAGTATCAGAGTATGTCTTGCTGATAACACTCAAGATGCTTTTGGTGAGGTCTGCAATATCTTCGAGCCGGAATGCATTGTGGAATGCAAGAAGAAAAGACGGCACAGGATACTCTGACAGGCGCACAAATATCCCCGCAGCCATCAGCGCCTGGTGTATCTCTGAGAACACTTTTACTACATCCGGATGGTCTTCATGGAGGAGTATCCTCACAATCGGCGTAAAGTGGTCAGTTCGTGCTCTGAATGGAAGAGGCTTAGCACGGGAGTTGAACTCAGTGTAGAATGCCTGTGCTGCAGGGTAGTTGATCAGTGAGTTCTTGTCTCTCGAGAAATTGGAGAGAAACTTTGGCGATTTGATGGATTTCTTCGCAGGATAGTCAATGGCAGGGGTGTACTGGCACTCTTCTGAGGAGGAATCTGTCTCAGACTGTCTGTACAAGCTGAACTGCGACTCTTCCCACTCGATCACTGACTGCAGATTGAGCAAAGCAGCATGCGCCAAATACGCAGGGAGTGATGCTGAGAAACAGTACGCCAAACTGCTCAGTCTCTGCAGATCAGAGACCTCTTTAGACCCCACGCAGAATCCCCCAGCAGATCCAAAGCCCGTGGAGAGAGAGCCAATGCGCAGGTCCACCTGGTTGGGGTCAGCTCCAAAGAAGCCCACAGCGCCTGTGCTCCCCAGCATGGGAATGCTCACAGACTCATCGAGGATAAGGAAGGCGTGGTGCTGCGCCCGTGCTTTGATTATTGCTGCAATGTCTGCAGTCTCTCCGGTTTCTTCGAAGATTCCCTCAGTGATAATGAACTTTTTGTTCTTTGAGGAGCCCTCGAGAGCAATCTTCAGATTAAGATCAGCGGTGGAGGTGTACGCAATGGCCTTTGCTTTGGACGCGTATATCCCTCTGCGGATGCTAATAGATGAGCGGTGATCGTAAAAGATTGCATCGTCTCTTTTGCAGAAGCATTTGATGACACTCGCAATGGCCAGTAGAGAGTGCGCATAGAGCACTGCTCCATCTACGCCCAGAGACTCAGCTATCTTTTTCTCCAGAGTCAGATGGATGTCAATGGTTCCATAGAACCCTCTGGGGCCGCAGGTGCCCACCCCGTACGTGTCAATGGTCTCTGAGAGGGCGCATATCTTGGCGGCCTGCTGCTCTGCTGTTTCCACAGGGAAAGGGAGCTTCTCTTTGTCTGATGGAGCTGAAGGAGTGCTGAATAAAAAAGGGTTGAACGAGGAAAGAGAGTACTTTACCTCTGTGTGCTCCACCTCTGCTTCATCAGGCAGCCCGAGGTCCTTGGGCTCCCACTCATCAATTAGCTGCTCTGCTTCTTCCTTTGATAGTATTACGTCTTTTGCAGATTTCTTCCTCTGAAATGCGTACTTTAAAACTACGCCAAGCATAAATATTTCGATCAATATTCGTATAGGGTTGTTCTGATACGGGTCTTTGATCATCTGCCATATTTCAAGAAACAACATGCACAAACAGAAGTAAACAAATAAAAGAATATATGTAGATTAAACGGGATAAAGACAGCGGGAGAAGGCAGCAGTTTAGCAGTGCATGAGTAGTAAGCCATCGGCACGGGAGAGTGCAGGAGATACTCATTTACTTGGCTAATTCTCGGGTTATTCACCACACACTGGAAGAGTATTAGTGTGATCATGCCAAAGAGCTGTACACACTAGAAAGATGCAATGAAGAGAGTTACTGAGTTAGGAAAGGTTTATTGATTAAATTGGCTGTACTGCAGGGAAACACCACTCCTTCTCGGGGCATTCTGTTATTTGTGCTATTTTTACCATCCACCTACACTCTGTGCAGAGTTTTCTCTACGCATCAAAGTCTGCAGAATAAAACAGTGAGGCAAGTAGATAGCAGAGAGTGTGCTATGTGTCCTGCGCACAGAGAGATTGCAGTGATAGCTCGAGACTAGCAGGGAGTATGCACGCGCCTCCATTCTCCATTGATGAAGATCCTGCAGTGCATCTGAAGTATCTGCACTGAGCTATAAGCATTGCATAATAAATGGTGAATGTAGTGAATCCTGTTTATTTCAAGTGTTTACAGATAGTAGTAAAATGACTTTTCTCTATAATTCATTTCCGATGGATCTATAAAGTACAGATCTTCCTGCTGCATATCTGTAAGTGACGAGGGCTCCTCTTTTGTCTGCTCGTAGTTCTTCTTTGTTTTGTACGCCTCCACAGCCTTTCTCAGCATGGTCACTTTGTCTGTGGCCTTGACAGCGTTCCAGAACGTTGTGTTGTCTACGTTAAGGAATGCCAGCTTCACTGCGAGCACGTTGTCCTCGTTCATGTTTTCCCACTTACCGAGCCCAAAAGACTGGTCGTCAAACTCTCCGCTGAAAACAGAGTATTTCAGCTTGAACTCGCCGTCAATCTTGTCGTAGTCAATTGACTCAATGTCGATGCGCACTTTGCACCTTTTTGATATGCCCTTCTGTGTCCACGTAACACTTACCACGCTCGGAGAGTTCACTGATGCATTCTCTGGCTGTCTTTTCCTCAGAGTGCCTTCGTTCATCTTCTTCATGCGCACCACGCGTCTGGAGCTCGTTGATCTGTGCAGATTTCTGAAAGAGTCCACAGCCCTCTGCACTATGCCCTTCTTCCCGTAGAGGAGAGTGGGGTTCAGCGCAGTGAGTTTCCATGCCAGCTTGTTCACCTCTGTTTCGTACTCCCATCTGTTTCCCAAATATCTGTCTGGCAGCACGTTTGCTCTTGGATATACACTGTTGTCCATCTTGAACTTGTCTGTCATTTTGTCTGTGTCTACGTTCTCAATGTCGTATTTGATGGAAAACTCCACCTCTTCAATTCCTGCGTCGCCTCTTCCCTCTTCGCACATCTTTGTGGGATATTTGAAGCACAGCCTGCTTTCTCCGTTCACGAGCTTGATGTGCGGCTGCGATGCCGGCCTGTTCACTACCCTTCGATTTGAAGACCTTTTTTCCTGTTTGTCCTTTGCCCCGTGGACATCTGCTGCTTCTTCTCTATCTTCGTAGAGAAGCCCGTAGTTGTTGACTCCGCTGGACATGTCGTCCTCCTGGCTGTCTAGTATGTCGCTCTTTGAGTTATAATCGTATTGTGGAAGTGTTCGAACCTCCCATTCCTTATCAAGTACTTTCTTTTGTCGTCCCATCCCCTGTATATAGCCCCTGCGTATCCAAAATAAAAAATTTAAAAACGGTAATACCGCTCAATTTTCAAATAAAATGCAAATATTTATTCTTTATTTTTGCTGCTGCTATATTTATTAGTTTAGCAATCAGCGAGCTGCAGCCGGCAGCTAAAACAGCGCACATCTGAAAACACGTTATTTTCTTAAAATCTTGTCTCCTGTGCTGGGGCTGCGCACGGCCTGTGCGCGGATGTTTTTGGAGAAAACGTGCACCTGCGTGTGCTCTGATGCTTGGTTGCTGCCTCTGGCTGTTTTATCTTTGTTTTGATTATTACCAATTGGTTACTTATTTTCATACACTCTTTGTCTCTTTATAATCTGAAAAATATTCAGAAACACATGGAGTCAAGTGAGCCCGCAGTAGGACAGCAGTACCAGGAAATAGAAGACGCACAGACCGTGGAGAGAACGCTTTCCATCAAAATAGTGTACAACTACAGCGAGAAAACCATCTTAGTCACGATATCTGAAGATATTTTGGAAAAGATAAAAAGAAAGGCGCACGAGCTCTTTGGGCTCTCATGCATCCGGCTGGAGATAGACAGAAAGCCCGTCACAGCGCCCGAGCAGATCTTCAACCATCCTTCTGCAAAAATAACTGTTGTCGGCATAAAGAATAAGTGCATGCTCGAAAAATGCAAAAATAGAGTGAATCCCACATCAGATTTGGAGTGCAAGTTCTGCTGCAAGTCCTTCTGCATCAAACACTCGATTCCTGAGGGGCACGCGTGCGAGAACATTTCAGACTGTAAAGAAAAAGCGGCCCAGGAGAACCTCAAAAAGCTCCTGAGCTCTGGAAGGCCCAGCAGATAAATCTATCTTAAAGAGTTACTTTTTTTTCTTTGCATGAAAAGTTGGAAGGTCGTAAAGCCAAAGCAAAATAGAACTGAGAAAGTGGAAGAAAAGAAGAGATGCAGTAAATTCAAGTGCGTAACTGTTCTAGTTGCACTAGTTGCAGTGGTGTATGCAAGCATAGCCTCAGGACTCCTCGATCCGCTGTTCGGCAAAGTGTGCTCGCATCCCGCGGCAAAAGCAATATTTTCCAATGAGTATTTTATACTAATTAAAAGAGTGGTGCAGCTATTCATAGTCAGAGTGCAGTTATTACTTATTGAAGCAGTGGCCATTGGCCGCACGGTGCTATGCAAGGCCCTCTGCGGAGTCTGCGCTCTTCTCAACAAAATTCCCGGCATGGATTGGGTTAAATCCAAGATAGAAAGCTGCGGATGCTGCAAGAGCGCATGCGGCTTCTTATCTAAGGCCGGGCACAGTGCAAAGAATTTTGCAAGTTCTTTACATAATAAGATCAAGGGCCTGAGAAAGTGAGGAGAATAAATTACATTTTATGAATAATAGTTTTATTGGCGTATCTAGATTTAATAAGGGACCGAGCACGCAGCTATGGATGCGTGGTTCTTCTCATTGGTAGCAATCAGTTTATCCGCTGTGCTTGGCCTAGTCAGTGCTCTTTCTACTTTAGTTGAGAGAGTTCTTCTGGGGACAGAATACTATTTGGGATGAAAAGGCATGTGGTTGGCTTGTCTTTCTCTGTTTTCAGGTCAAATCTACTGCTGATGTAGAAGATGGGGGTGTTTGTTTCTTGGCACAGCCCGGGTATATGACTGATCAAGTCAAATGGTGTAACATCTACAGCAAGAATTACTACTCCAGCATCTTTTCGAAGCAGAGACTTCTGGGTGGCCTTTATGCCTCGCTTGCACTCTGATAAGCTCAGCTTGCTGTGCAGTATGCTCATGCCGCTTGGGGAGACATGCTGTTTGTGAATTACTTCTAACATAAAAAATATTTTAAGTGCGAAGTATATACTCCATTGAAAACATTTCTGCACACAAATTGCCACAATAAAACATCAGAGTAAAAGTAGTTGCAATAGCATTCAGTGTATAATGAATACTGCACATGTAGAATTAATGAACTCTGGGCAAGGGACTATAATATTTAGCAATTCTAGTAAAATCTATCTTGGGTTTTATTCTACTTGGTAACAAATACTATGCGCGTAAAGATGGAATTAATGATTAATACGTGTAAGATGGGATAAAAGTGCAGTATTTATTTAAATAGTTGGCAGCCTGCACTCTCCATATACTCAGTGATTATAGCACTCGATTTACTTTATTCTAATATCTTAGTTATACGATGTGGTGATAATTACCACAGTATATCTGCGCATCTTACAGAACAGGATGTAAATGGTAAGCAGTGGTCTTTTACAAGAGAACTCTCTCGGGGTGCATCTCTCAATTAGCTATCCTGCACACTACAATCAGCAAAATAGTGAACGAAAGAAGAGCAAGAAAAAGAGTTGCTGTTTTCTTTGCCTTCTTTATTCTTATTTTTCTTCTTGACGATTTATTGATAACAGTGTGCGCTGATTTTGCCTGTGTATTCGCGCACTGCACGCCCAGATGCACCTTGTCCATGTCGCACGAGTCGATCCTTACAATCGTAGAGAAATCATCTGCTAGGTCTTTTAATTCTGAAATGCCCTCCAGAATGTTTTCAATCGAGCTTCTTCGCTTCTCTGCAAGGATCAGCGCTTCTTTTGCTGTTTTGCTGCCCAGAGTGAATGCAGACTGCAGGAGCACTTTTGCCTTCTCTTTTTCATCCAGGCTGGAAAGCTCTTCCTCCGTGGCCTCTGGCATGGCTATTAAATACTGCTCTCTCATTCTCTCTTTTTGGCTCACTGCAAACCCTCCCTGCACTCTTCCAAAGTCCTGTATCACGAGAGAAAGTCTCCGTAGAAGATTCTGCATAAAGTTATTTCGCGTTGCAAACCCTCTGTCAAATCCATGTCTGTCCAAGTGCACGTCATTTTCTTTTTTCATTTTTTCCAGCTCTTCCCGGATGCTTGATGCTCTTACTTTGAAGTCTTTGTAGAGGTTCTCCATTGCCTCTGCTATCTGCTGCAGCTGGCTCTCTTCTGTCATTCGCGCCTTGTTCTTAAGCGCATCAGCAACTGTAACACACTCAAAAAGACCTGAAATGGTCTCGTTTGTTGTTTTGGCTCTATTCAGAAACTCTAACAGCTCGGACATACTGCAAAAGATCTCTCCTCTCTTGTAAACACACTGACCAAT